GTACCTGGGGCTGCATTACAGTTGGTCAGTGGGGCCTTCTTGACTGACGAGGCGGCGTTGGAGCTCTTGACGAGGGCAGGGGTGCTCTGGTCCTGTGTGAAAGTGGACAGGTTGGCGCAGGACTGAGACTTCTTCAGGTTCTCGTTGTTGAGATGGGTCACATTGTTCTGGTATGTGGCGTTGGGCTGCACCTTCTTGGAGCTTTTTTTCTTGGCCGACACAGCCACGATCCGCTTCCATGGCAGAACATTGATGAGCGAGTGACGCTTCAGGTTCTTGTCTTTGGCGTTCTTGCTGTTCTGAATGGCCGTGTAGTGGCCCACTGTGGCTGGCCCATCTTCGAAGAGGGCCGCCTTCCTGTAGCTGGGCGAGAGAGACAGCACGGTTCCCATGGTGACTGAGTAGCAAAATCCAGGGGAGTTAGCCTCTCTGGGTTAGTGGATGACCGACCAGAGAGAATGGAGGGGAGGTCCTGAGGATCTCAATGCTTCTGAGCTTGGAGACCCTGGCTACAAGCGTCAGTTACTCTCAGGCATCTAATGCCACGGTAGGTCCTGATAGGAAGGTACGTGCTGGATGGATCAGGAGTTGGTCTAAGCAGATTCTCTCTGTGCACTTGGCTCTCCTTCTCAGCTGGGTCAATAGTGCCTGTGGGAAACAAAATGGTTCAATATTAGCTCAATTAAATGCATGGCTTCAGTAGCTATTAGCTACATTTTACCACTTTCATTGTGTGCTCATAAATGTGAGCAATATAAAATGTATTTGATGTTGAGAATGAGAGAGTCCTATCTTGGTTGTGATTGCATTTTTGAATTTATAATTAATATCACAAAGATATTTCAATATTTCCTTGCTAATTGAAGATAAAGATGGATTATTTGGCTGCACAACCATCTGTTATGGTTGTGTACGTCGGCTGCTGTCCAAGGTCCTGAAATTTAAGTGTCTGTGTCGTCCTTATAAAGGAGCATGTCATACAAGCGATGCTGTGAAGGCTATTGCGTTGAGATATCTTGGTTGGCTCTAATAATTCACAGGAATTTCCATAACATTCAGATATGCTTTCATAAATGTCTACACCAGGGGTCTTCAACCTTTTCTTGCCCTGGAACCCCCTCCCAGGCAAACTGGCAACCTAGGGACCACCATAATATGTTAGCAAAAAATATATAATCACGTCTTGTCTTATCATTAAATGATAATGGCAAGGAGAAGTAATCAACATTTTAAAATGAATAGATTTGGTAGATAGATTTTCATTATTTTGATGTCCCCACATTACAATTGGAAGAGGAAGTGTAAACTTTAACATAGCCTATTAGCTAGAAAGGTAACTCCAAACACATTTTCGCTAAGAACAGCTGTAAACAAAGGTTAGCCATGTGTTGGCAAAATGTATGTCCAAGTCAAGAAAGCTTACCAGTGCAATTGCTGCACTCAGGGACATCATGCACCAATTATTTTAGAGGGAGCACAAAGTAGCTGAGGATGGAGTCAGGGTGGTTGGAGAATTTTGATTTTTTTTAAACACCTGAAACAGCTTTTTCCTGCAATCTAGAGCCATAATAATTATGCCTAATTCTAGTAATTTAGTTTAGTAATTAATTTAACATATGAACATTTTAAAAACAGGACAAATCTGAGGGGGCATGTGCCCTTGTGCCCCCCATGACACCTCTGGCACTGGAAGCTTAATCGCTGGTGTTTTTTCAAAGCCTATGTCAGATACTCCAGTGAGTGTAATTTGCTCAATATTAGGATTTGAGAAATTAAGTTGACATCATTAGAAATAAGATATTTTACTATTTTCTACTGTAGGTATGTAATTCAAAATTAGTTTATTCTATTGTTGATAGAGATATTCATAAAAACAATATGACCCTTAGGGGGCAGCGGGCCCTCGGTGAAATACCCATGGTGTACACAGTAGAGTCTATATCGACAAGTGCTCGGTGATCCAATTTGAATGGTCTAATTAGCTGTGTTGTTTTGACTTGGTAAATGAAAAACAGACGGGTGAATCTAGGCCTATACTAGGGAATGTTATGGTGCCTCAAAGCACTCAGCAAATCAGACAGCAAATGACAACAAGCTGGATTAGCAACTACACTGCTTGCTTGTTGACTATCCGCATGGTAATCCAAAGTAAAAACATCAGAAGGGCCTCTATACCTTTAACAGAAATCAATCAGCCGCCCAATCTACACATCCAATTCCTCTTGAATTATACATGAACATGCTTTAATTCGATTGAAGCCTAACGAATGATTGATGTATCCATGCTCATACAGCAGTACCTTCTTTTTAAAATGGAAGCCTGAAATGTAAACACCTTTATGTGAAGGTCGCCTTTGCTATAGCCTATGAAATCATCGAGACTTTAAAACGATGTTTGTAAAATGATATAATCAGAATTTAAAGCAATTATTGTTTCATAACTTTTGTATCTATTGGCTAGCCTAATAATAATAGTATATTGCTGATGAGTCATGTGCGTTGAGAAAAATGTTTACGAGATAAGATTAAGCCATAACCATAACAGCAAAAAAAGTGATTGCGACTCAAAGATTTTAAGTTGATTTCAAGCAGGCTAGTCGATTTGTCAGAAAATACCAAATATGTTTTGCTATTTTACTTGTTAATTGAAAGATAAAGACAGTTTGTCTAACTTCAAGCGTTGGTTTCAAGGCTGTTATATGTGGTTGTGTAGGCTACATCGGCTGCTGTCCATGGTTCTGAAATCGAGCGTCCGCGTCCTAATAAAGCCGCAAAAGCGACGCTGAGTAATATGGAATTCCAACAAACCCTTTTGACCTGACTCCTCATTATGGTGCATATGAGCAGCCTCATGCAAAGAAATATAGGATACCTACAAATCTAGCAGTTTAGCCTATTTTCCCAGGTGATGTCGCCTATTCTCACATTTTGATGTTTACCATTTATAATTAAGTAGGTTATCCTTCGAAATAGGATACAATATTAGACCAATTATACATTCATTACTTACAGTGTGATATTTGTCCTCCAGTAAATGAAAAAATAATGGCACTGCAGTGATGGCTTCCTCAACAGTAGCAGCCAATTCATTTGATATTGTACACATCAAGGGGAAACCTCATAAACCATCTTGGAAAATGCAGAAAAAAGCATAACACCATACAATCCAAGGAAAGAAAAGGCATTAATCAAGCAAGAGCATCCGCACGCCTTGACATATTCTGGGTATCGCCAGTCTCTGGTGCGCAGCCGATGGTAGGCAACTGTGGAATGGATGCTGATATGAAGATGTGCTATTGGTCCTCACCGCGAGATGCGGTTTCAAGGGTTGCTGTGCGCTCCCACTGGCTCCCTGGTGTAAAAAGGGAGAAAGGCAGTGGTCGGGCGCTGTAATTTGCAACTCCAATCACAACAACGCTGCACAATGCACTCAATACTCAAATCCATTTCTTGAATAACAATTAATGTATTTCAGCATGTAGCCCAGCTGTTTTAATTACACAAGAAAAGTAGACAATAAATAAATGTCCACAGTTATGAAAGCTATTTTTATTTATCAATAACCTACATTTTAGATCACATATAGGCTGTCAAAATGAGTCACATAAATCAAAATGTATTTTTATTTATTTGACATTTTGCAGGATGAAATCTCTTGATGCACCATCTCGTTTTTAAGAGTGTCCAACTGTTATCATTGTACAGACCTAGTAGGGGTATATTCATTGTTTTTAAGACCATAAAATCCTATCCAGCAAATCCCATACTAGGCTATCATTCATCTCCTTTTTCATGAACAGACCACTTTGAATTAAATGGTGTAGGCCCAGTGGTGTAGTGGTGCCTGGAGAGGTGGGTGTACTCTAATGTTGCCAAACATTTCTCAAATGGCCCACCCCGCAAAGGAAAGGCGCCCTGTGTGAAAAATTCTATGAGTATAGTGACATACACTCTGAATGACCTAAAATTGGTCTTTCACAGTCAGGCCAACCGAAGCTGTACTGTGCAAGTGCTAATAATAGGCTCTGTCAGAAATTCACAGGTTTCTGATTTTTTTCAGGTTTTCGCTCTCAAAGTCACACTTTTTTTTTAAATAGAAAAGCAACACAATTGGATGTTCTAATCCATAACAATGCTTAAACCATATCAGGAGAGACCACTTTTGAGGTCTGGGGAAAAATCTAAGAAATGTTGATTTTTTTTTGTGTGTAGTTACCCTTTAATTCAAGTGAGCAGGCACCTAGCACTGTTGTTTAGTTAGTGGTGTTTCTGTAGCACATTATAAGGAGTTTGCAAAACAAATGGCCACTGGATTGATGCAAATAATCCTGATAGCATTCTGCCAGGTAGGCATAGGCTACTTTGTAGCTAGTTAACATTTAATTGAGAAGGTTTTTGGGAAAGCCTTTCCATCTACCAGAAAATGGTTAGGCCTATCATTAGCATAGCTAGGCTATATTTTTCCTGTTGTTTGAAACCTGGACATTTTACTTCATATTATGAGGCATGTCTTACCTTGCTTCAAAGTAGCCTATAGCCCAAATTCCACCATAGGAACTTGGAAGCAAGTATTTTTTAGCCTTCCTCATTTGCGTTTTCCTGTTCTATTAGTTTTCTTTCAACTTTCTTTCATTGTCTAGCAGCCAAAGTGGGGATTAAGAAGTGAGTGTTTAGCAATGCCCAGTGGAAAATAAATTGATAGCCTAGCTAGTATACCTACCTGCGTACCCTCGCCACACCACTGTGGCCTACACTAAATGCTGATGATAGGGCCTATGTGAAATTGTCATGACATTCTGCTCCTACAATTTATTTGATAAAGTGAGTCAGCATGGCAAAATATAATCTACTGTTTACTATAAATACTGAACTACAATCCCCAAAACGTATATTTGGCTCCCTCTCTCGTGATGTAGCTTGCGTAGTCCTTTACGTATTTCCTATGGCATGGTTGATTGTTGTAGGCAGGCCGCTTTTGAATAGGTAGCTAGCTAGCTAAGATGGCGGCTGCGGCAGTGGTTGAGTTTCAGAGAGCTCAGTCTCTCATTAGCACGGATCGTAACGCCTCTATTGATATTCTACATTCTATCGGTAAGTAATGATTGTAGGCATTTAGACGAGAAAGAGTCGTATTGTTGTTGTATTTTTGCTCGATTTAAGTCAACGCAAAGTCAGTTTTATACACTGACAAGAGCCGATTTGTGTGCCGTGCTGACTCACTGTAGACTCACTGTAGAACCGTTGTGTTGCTAGCTAGATAGCTAGCAAGGTGGTCGCTGGATGACTAGCTAGCTATAGTAGGCCATGGCATGATGAGCTGGAAAGCCCAGACTGAATGCAAAGACGTTAGCTAACTACTTATTATGTTGTTTTTATGCAACATGTTTGTAGCTAACAGTTATCACAATACAATTCAAAGTCGCTAGCTAACGTTAGGTAGCTAGGTAGTGAATTTGGCTAGCTAGCTAGTGAAGTTGGCTAACTTGCACCCTTGTAATAAAAGCTAGTTAGCCAACTAACTAACTAGCTACCTCAATGGAACTTGAGAATTGATTGAATCTTAGTTAGGTATGTCATTTTGGTGCAGATAATGTAGCTAGATGCTCTGAAATGTGTTAACGTTACTAAGTTAGCTTGCTTACGTTGCCAAATTATCAGTGAGATCAAATCCACTGTTCTTAATTAGCTATCACTAGGTAGCTAGTTAACTACCTAACTGTTGTTGACAGTTCTGTGGCTAGCTTTGTAGCATGCTATTCCATGTGTTGTAGCTGTCATCAAATTGTCTTAGTCACTGGGTCCCCAGTTAGCTGTTGACTTGCAAGACTAGTAGACCCAGATAAACAGTAACTAAGACAGACAACAAGGAACACAGTAGTTAGCTAGGACTAGGAGACTGTCAGTGTAGGAAAAGATATAGCCAATGTCAATCGGTGCATTATTTTCCATGTCCCAACAGTGAGGCGAGATATCCAGGACAGCGATGAAGAAGCCGTTCGGGTTAAAGAACAAAGCATCTTGGAGCTGGGGTCACTCCTGGCCAAAACAGGACAGGCTGCAGGTGAGACTCAACACAAACACCACATCTGGTCTATTAACATGGCTGCCTGGCTGCTGAACTAGACAAACTTGGGAGTGAGTCATCCATTAACTGTACAATGATTCACTGTATGTGCCATTGCTTAACTGTTCTGTAGTACCCAAGAACAGATTATTTCCAGTTATGAAGCTAACATCACTATTTTGACAGTAGACACAACACAACCTTGGGTAGAAGGACTTATCGGGTAGACAAGATATGCTTACTGTTGTCATTCATTTAGCCCTAATTTCTGCTGTGGTCATTCCTCTACCACAGAGTTGGGGGGTCTGCTGAAGTTTGTGCGGCCGTTCCTCATCTCCATCAGTAAGGCTAAGGCAGCCCGGCTGGTCCGCTCCCTGCTGGACCTCTTCCTGGACATGGAGGCAGCCACAGGCCAGGAGGTGGAGCTGTGTCTGGAATGCATCGAGTGGGCCAAGGTGGAGAAGAGGACCTTCCTCAGGCAGGCTCTTGAGGTAAGCTGACCCCTTTCACCTAGAAGACAAGCTGTTGTTTAGTTTGAAGACCATATGTAATTGAGTCTTTCTCAACACATTTCCCTACCTTCCCAGAGTGATATGATTCATATTTTTTTTTTGTTTCAATGGCAATCAATGACACATTTCTCTTCCCCTCTCCTCAGGCCCGTCTGATCTCGCTCTATTTTGACACCAAAAGACACCAGGAGGCCTTAGCGCTTGGTGAGTGACAGTTCTATCTGTATGGACTGACAATATTATCCCTGCTCCATGAGCTCAGCATCTGTCTGAGCATAGAGGGTTAAGCATTGGATATGTTTACCCATAGCTGTGTCCAAAGCTATGTAGCATGACTCCGTATCCCATTCACCCCCGTCTCCTGGACGCTTTGTGATGTGCTGTCAAACAAGTCGAGACTCGTGACAACATTGAATTTATCCGAAGTTGAACTTTAATATTCCACAACACCAGGTTTGTGGGCCACACATATGTATACGAAAGATGTGTTAACTATAAGGCACGTTAGATAAGTGTCTGCTAAATTACTATATGACCTTTATATTGTGTTTCTCTGGTGTTCAGGCACCCAGCTGCTCCATGAGCTGAAGAAGATGGACGACAAGGCGCTGCTGGTGGAGGTGCAGCTGCAGGAGAGCAAGACGTACCACGCGCTCAGCAACCTGCCCAAGGCCCGCGCCGCCCTCACCTCCGCCCGCACCACAGCCAACGGCATCTACTGTCCCCCCAAGCTGCAGGCCGCCCTGGACATGATGTCAGGTCAGTCCCAGTGAACGAGCCTCCATCCATAGCCCCCTACAGTGTTCCTCAATGGCTTAGAAACTATTGGCTGCTTATGTTGTTATTTTGGCAGAAACAACAGAACGTTATACAACAGAATAGAATACACTCTGAGCGCTATTTTATTGGTAGAACAAAACAAATCTATGAAGCTGTAAATCCATCAGTAAAATGAACTATGTTCAGTGTGTATTAATTTACCAGGGATTTCAGTGAGTCAATGTCTTACTCATTTGTAACACCCAGAATTAGTTTACTGACCCAAATGAAGAAGAGCTGTGTGTTGAGGTGGCAAAGTGCCATGCTTAGTGTGGACGACTGACCGTGCTTCCTCCCCTGCAGGGATCGTCCACGCAGCTTCGGAGAAAGACTGGAAGACTGCCTACTCCTACTTCTTTGAGGCCTTTGAGGGCTACGATTCCATCGACCACCCTAAAGCCATTACCGGTCTCAAATACATGCTACTCTGCAAGATCATGCTCAGCCTGTAAGTGATACTACCTCCTAGCTGTGTTGCAATGATTTGAAGCATACAGGTATGGCTTGGGGTAGCTTTGATGTGTTCTGACTTGGTTGACCCGCTGTTGCTGGTGTCTTTCAGACCAGAAGAGGTGCAGTCCCTGATCAGCGGTAAATTGGCCCTGCGGCATGCTGGCCGACAGGTAAGAACCTGCTGTGTGTGTGTGTGGTTTTTCTCAACTTGCACTATGTAATACGTTTTTTAATTGGTTGGTACCTGGCTGACCATGGTCTCTACCTCCCTCCCTTTGCAGACAGATGCACTGAAATGCGTTGCACAAGCCAGCAAGAACAGATCATTAGCAGACTTTGAAAAGGTAACACCTTCCTTTAGCCCTCATTGTTGGTGCTATGTTTTTTTGTCTCTGAGGATCTCTATTGTGACAGGTCCATTTGTATTCTCCCTTGTCTCACCTTCCCTCTCCTCCCCACTAAGCCTCTTTCTTTTCTCCCTCCCTCCCTCTTTCTTTCCTCCTCTCCCTCTCCTCCTATTCCCCCCTCCATCTCTAGGCCCTTACAGAATACAAAGCAGAGTTGAGGGACGACCCCATCATCAGAACCCACCTGGCCACGCTGTATGACAACCTGCTGGAAGGGAACCTTATCCGTGTCATCGAACCCTTCTCCAGAGTACAGGTATGCACATCTGGGGACGGTAAATATTGCTTGATGTTGGATTTCTAACTAACCACTCATATCATAATCCTTTATGGTGTTTCTCTTTTCCAGATTGAACACATATCAGGTCTCATCAAACTGTCAAAGGTATAGAGGCTTCTGCTTTGCTACCTTAATATCTTTGGTATTTGAGAAGGGAAAATCAGCACTCATTTAGTCCTGTGATATAATATTCACACATCTTATAAGTCCTATATGCCTTGACATATTGTCAGTAATTAGTGGATATGTGTTTTTTCCCTCAGGCGGATGTTGAGAGGAAATTGTCACAGATGATCCTGGACAAGAAGTTTCATGGTAAATCAATTGTCTGCTTGCTTGGTACATGCCTGGTATAAACTACTGTATCATATCTTTGTATTACGCTTCTTCTGTTAAGTGAAATGTAATTTAGTCTAAATTGCCTGTATGACTTATTATAGGGATCCTGGACCAAGGCGAGGGTGTCTTGATCATATTTGACGAGCCACCAGTTGACAAGACTTATGGAGCGGCCTTGGAAACTATTCAGAACATGAGCAAAGTTGTGGACTCGCTTTACAACAAAGCGAAGAAGCTAACATAGGTAGGGCTCTTCAAGAGCGACACATGCACACTTGCCACATGTTCTGTCCAATTGCATAACTCACTGCATCCTTCCAAATGGGAAAGGATGACTTTTCAAACCACTGTGCTTACTGTAGATCTTATGTCTTTCTCGTCCTCAGAACAAATGGCGAGACCACAGCAGCACGGTGGAGGATGTGTGTGTGTGTGTGTGTGTGTGTGACCAGAGTGTGTAACATTTTAAGAAGGGGACAAGGGAGAGCGACCAAAAAAGTCAACAGGATTCCCAGTTCCCCCTCAACGGACAATTCCATCACCCCTCTTAATTCTCATTTATTTAATTTTTTTGTTCTTTCAGGATTCTATTAAACTCTCATCGGCCACAGCAGGCCATCAGGGAATATTGTACAACCACAATAAAATATTAAGAAAGATAAATACATGTTTATATCTCCTGTAGAATAAAGACTGGGCTTACAAAGCCTACAGCTGACTCCTTCGCCACCTGAAAAGGTGCAATATCGAGCGCCACCAACACTGTTTCTTTTACATGCAGGGACAAGGCTTTTGGTCAGGGTGGTCTCTTCATCTCTCTCTGTCCATATCTTTCTGAAGCACATGGTTTTTAGCTAATTGAAGGTAGGTTAGAAAACATTGGGATATCCTGGCAGTTAAATTTGCAGGTTGACATTTGTCTTGAGTCTTGTCCTGGAGGCAGAACTGAGCGATATCCCCTTAGACACGCCAGCTGAGAAGTTAAAATGGGCTATATTGTAGACATTCATGACAACATAAATTAGCCTTTTGGTCATCATTTAAGGTTAGGCATTAGGGTTAGCAGTGTGGTTAGGTTCAAAATCTGATTTTATGACTGGCTGTGCCAGCTAGTGACCACTCTGCAGAGCTGCCTCCAGGGTAAGATTCATGATGAAAAATGCTAACCTGTGTTACATTTGGTCAAAATGGCTCCCTCTTAACTCTTGCTGTGCTCATCATATTCATGCCAAGAGTCAGTCAATTCCCCTGCATGGTATTTCAAATGGTTGTCAACATCACTTTATTCGGATTGCGTTTGTTTTTAACTAAAATAAATCGGACACTTTTGTCCCCTTCATACTGTAAGTACATAGCGCAGAATGGATGCCATTTCACACCGCCAGTGCCCTCTTTCATCCCTCTGCTTTGCATCAACGTTTGGCTACAATATAATTTGGGGGTGCAGAAGTGGTGATGTATTGATTGCCTCTGGGCGTCTGTCTGATCCCGAGTGACCGGTTATTCATTGTTAGATCCTGGTATGCTAATAACCAAACAACAGTTTGTATGGTTTAGATTTTTTTTTGTCATTTTCAAAAATAAACATTTTGTATTTTTAACGATTTTGTCTGCCTCTTGGAAAATATCACTGACCTTGGCAAAGTTCGATTGGGCCATTTTAGCCCTCTGTGCTGAGGTAATTTGGGTAAGACGTTGGGTGTCCCTTGTTGGACGAGTGACTTCAGTTGATTTGGACGCCAGTGTTGATATAAAGGTCTAATAGACTAAGGCGTTCGAAGCAAATGTCTGAAGGAACTAGCAGCTTCAACTGGGTGGGGAAGAATGAGTGCCTCTAGTTGCTTACTGGGTGGAAGTAAAGAAGGAGGTCAAATCAAAGGGAAGAGATGTGTATGCAGTAGGAAGAATCCCTGTCAAGTCAACTCTGGGATTGCCATGTTGTGAAGTGCATTTAGAGGGTTATGAATAATATGGTATTGTCTTGTCTCCTGTTGGGCAAATATTCCTGTGTTAGAAAATTGCCTTGTCCCATCAAAGGGCATTAAACCACAATTTCAATGACGGCTTTGGATTGTTTTTTTTTACAGAAGGCAATGTAAACCGTTTATGAACCTGTTTGTGTAATGAAACCTAGTCATTAAGTTGAAAAGGGAAGGATCTGGATTCTGACATGGTGTTTATGCACTATACAAGACCATCCATAAAGGTGCATCGTTGCAAAGAGTTCATGACTTCTGCACCAGAGTTCTCCAATATTGTGCCATAAACTGCTCTGAACTGAGTTTCCCTCAATTTTTTGTCAGTGAAGTTTTACAGTATGTTAACAAGAAGCAGTCACTAAACACTAGTGGAAGTCCCATTTCAAGGATGTCCATATCTCCATTTATCGGTTAGGTATGGCCTATATGTGTAAAACCATACATTTTGGGACCAATTATTTTGACTTAATTGAATTTTAAACTTCCAAGTTTGAGGTGAATAGGTGTAATGTAAATGTACAGGTAACTGCCAAAATAATGGAAACACCTAAATAAAGTGTGTTAATAGGGCATTGGGCCAACACGAGCCGCCAGAACAGCATCAATGTGCCTTGGCATATATTCTACAAGTGTCGAACTCTATTGGAGAGATGCGACACTATTCTTCCACGAGAAATTCCATAATTTGTTGTTTTGTTGATGGTGGTGGAAAATGCTGTCTCAGGCGCTACTGCAGAATCTCCCAGAAGTGTTCAATTGGGTTGAGATCTGGTGACAGACACACAACGTCAAACACGCTGCTGTCTGATGTCAGAGACATTGAACCACTCAACCAGGGTTCTCCAACCCTGTTCCCGGAGAGCTACCCTCCTGTAGGTTTTCGCTCCAACCCCAGTTGTAACTAACCTGATTCAGTTTATCAACCAGCTAATTATTAAAATCAGGTGCGCTAGATTAGGGTTGGAGCGAAAACCTACAGGATGGTAGCTCTCCAGGAACAGGGTTGGAGAGCCCTGCACTGGACACTTCCTGACATAGCTCATTCTAATATTTCTGCTACTGTACTTTAGTATTTAGTTACTGTTTATACACACCACATATATATTTATATACTGGATCCTTGACGTAACTCACCAATATATATAATGCTGTACACAGTGCTTGAATTGGACTGAAATTGGTGCCGCTACTCATTTTTGGTGCTTGTACTGTTTATATTTAGGTGCAGGAGCTCCACAATAATTTTGAGCTAATAATCTATAAGATGTGCAGGAGCTCTAGCAGTAGAAAAATGGATGTGTTAGTACTCAGCTCCAGTGAGCTGCTGCCCAAGTCAAGAACTGGCTGTACATATCGTTCTTAGTATATCTTGTGTAAATTCTTCCGGTGTATATACATATAGATTGCCCTTTGGTTACCATTACAGTGCTGTTTGGATTCGTCCTGACGTTCTTTATTTGTACTTTTTTTACATTTTCATTATTTGTGTAATTGACATTTTACTGCCTTGTTAGGAGCTAATAACATAAGGATTTCGCCCCACCCGCTATAACATCTGCTAAACGTGACCAATAAACTTTGATTTGATACACACACCCTTTAAACCCCCTATGCTCCTTTGAGACCCCTCTTTCAAAGTCACTGAGATCCACGGTAGCCAAAATAATGGGCAACTGGTCATTTTTATACATGACCCTAAGCATGATGGGATGTTAATTGCTTAATTAACTTAGGAACCACACCTACTTTCAATATACTTTGTATCCCTCATTTACTCAAGTGTTTCCTTTATTTTGGTGGTTTGTAATATCGCCCCTAAATCTATCCACAGCTTCATGCAGTTTTCCAAAACCCCCAAAGTAGTGTTGCTTGTTTTGGATTTCTATACACATCAATATCAAATGTACAGACGGTTCTTGCTGACCAACAATTACCGAGTATATCTGATGTTCAGATAAGTTCAAATAAATATTTTTTCAAAAGTGTTTGCTTTCTCTTCTCTGTTTAGTGTTTTTATGATCATTGATCAGCCCATTTGCAATAAGGTATTCACTTTTCCATTTGACTTTATAAAATTCTCTCTCTGACCATTTGTATACTTGCAAACTTGGAAATTCACATTATTGAGAATAGGCATATAAAAGTAATCCTGATCATGTACAATTTATAGATTTTTGTTTATGTGTGTGTTAAAAACAACTAATTATGCTCACAATATTGAAGCAGTTTATTAGATCGTTTGATTGTGCAGTTTCCGAAATATGTGTTATTAATATCCTATGTACACACCTGGGATACATTTACTTGCGGAGTACAGACCTCTTCGCTGTCCCACTGGCAAAGATTTCCAACTGAGTTTGCGTAATATGTGGTTTGTTCAAATATTTCGTCTCCAACGTGTGCGTGATGACATCCTTCGTAAGCGACGCCGATCCCGCCCACTTAGCCTGTGTAGTGCTAGTGGAGTTCAACGATTGTGCTGTCAGCAGTGTTGGGAACATTATGCTGAGTTACATTTGAAAAACGACAACAAACACCAATATGGCCGGCCGGGTGAGTTTCCTTTAAATAAGTGGCTTTAGGTAAACATATTTAGACATAGACGAGAATGATAACAATGCTGTGTTTTAAGGATGTTTCAGCCACTACTAGCTAGCTAGCTTCCTCCAACACACACTAGCCTGTGTGGCAGAGTACGTCATTCAAACCTCAGCCCGGAAGACGAGTATCTTATGACTAGTGTCCACTGCGAGCCATGTAATATCAAGCTAGCTACACAAGACAATACACTCATAGTATCTCTCAATGCTGTATCTCTAGCCAGTATCGACCAGGAAACCTCATAGTGATAGTAGCTTGCTAACTAAGCCAGCGCAGTATGAAAGGATACAGCTAGCGAAACAAGCTAAATCTCGCCTTCCAAGGTTTGACAGCTGGCTAACTTGTTGACTAGCTTTCAGGACCAGTCTAGCTAGGTAGATAGTCCAGTGCCTACACACACTAGTACCAGCAGGGAAGTGACATGTAAATGTCCGACTGCTGGGAAAGAGGAACAACAACGGATAGCTAAGTCATTTTTAGTCAAAATATAATTTAACGTTAGCATTCCACTTTCAAGATCTTTGAACAATGTGGACTGTAGCACAGATGATAGGGGATTCATCTTTGACTGTAGTGTGTGGAATCTGTGGATGACACAATATTATGAAGTGACTGGGGCCCCTGTAATGCACAGGCTGCAGCTGTCTGCATACTCTGCAAGAATATGATAATTGCTTGAGCAATCACCCATCACTAATTTCCTAGTTCAACAGACAATAATATAATACCATGCTTATTCATATCATGCGTATAAACCAAAATACTTAAATCATGCACAGTCATGCTCACGTGTAGGGGGTAGTATTTTGTATACATTTTAGAACATTTGAGCTGATTACATTTTGATAGAATGTGAGGAATTCCCTTAAAGGTAGACACAGCGATATGATGTAGATGCAGAAAGTAAACAACATAGTAGGTCAATTTCCGCAACAACTAAGAGCGTTGAAGCACGAACCTGTGCATATGCGCAGATACTGTGTGTGACTGTGTGAGAGCAAAGTCTTGCGTCTCACTCATCTCTATCTGTGGTGGTGCTCGTGACAATGTAATTTCACTGAGTCTACCTTTAAACACAATCTGCAACTCACAACAACTTAAAACAGCTGCTTAGCTAAAACTGTGCTCGCAGTGTTCCACAAATCATTAGAAAGTGTTTGCCTTAGAGTGGAAAAGCTCCAGAAATTTGCTCCTGTAAGCCCAGTATCCAACACAGTTTTCCATGATGTTCATTAGCATCATTGGTTAGGTCCAAAATATAGACCTATATAACATTAGTATCTTTGATATTGTTTGGTGAACAGGCCAGCTCAGTTGCTCAAATGTACTCAAAACCTATGCAAGACTTTGCTCTCACACAGTCACACACAGTATCTGCGCATATGCACAGGTTCGCGCTTCAACGCTCTTAGTTGTATGCTTTATGCTTTTTTCTGGCTACATTTGCCCCAAAGTGGTTTCCCAGAAAAACACTGACTGTAAGCATCAAATAATATTTTGATTTCAGTGATACCATCCTAAAAATCTAAAAGGTCGAATCTGCATTTGGGGACACCAGCGCCTTTGTTATTTTTTGGGGGTGTTCAAATGGAGGAGAGGAGCATCCCCCCCGCCCACACAAAAAGGTATTATTATTATTATTATTAAAACAAATTATAGCGGCCCTTGTGTGCACTTCCAGTAATGCTGTATACCCCAGTATGGTACAGAAACGGTATGACGGTATGAAAATCTGTATACCGCCCAACCCTACCGAACACCCCCCCCCCATTCACGTGGGGCTGTAGTGGAGCGGGTTGAAAGATTCCTTGGTGTCCACATCACATAATGTCAAAGTCAAATTATGTTTTTTTTAAAAATGTTTACCAGTTAATTAAAAATGAAAAGCTGAAATGTCCTGAGCCAATAAGTATTCAACCCCTTTGTTATGGCACGCCTAAATAAGTTCAGGAGTACAAATGTGCTTAACAAGTCACATAATAAGTTGCATGGACTCACTCTGTGTGCAATAATAGTGTTTAACATGATTTTTGAATGACTACCTGATCTCTGTACCCCACACATACAATTATCTGTAAGGTTCTTCAGTCGAGCAGTGAATATCAAACACAGATTCAACCACAAAGACCAGAGAGGTTTTCCAATGCCTTGCAAAGAAGGGCACCTATTGGTTGATGGGTAAAAATAAAATAAAAAGCACACATTGAATATCCCCTTGAGCATGGTGAAGTTATTAATTACACTTTGGATGGTTTATCAGTATATACAGGCGTCATTCCTAACTCAGTTGCCGGAGAGGAAGGAAACCGCTCAGGGATTTCACCATGAGGCCAATGGTGACTTTAAAACAGTTACTGAGTTTAATGGCTGTGACAGGAGACAACTGAGGATGGATCAACAACATTGTTGTTACTCCACAATACTAACCTGATTGACAGAGTGAAAAGAAGAAAGCCTTTACAGAATAACAATATTCCAAAACCTGCATCCTGTTTGCAAAAAGGAACTTAAGTAATACAAAAAACTGGTTTAGTCAGATTTCCACCAGACACTGGGAGATGAATTCACCTTTCAGCAGGAAAATTACTTAAAACACAAGGCCAAATCTACGATGGAGTTGCTTACCAAGAAGACAGTGAATGTTCCTGAGTGGCCGAGTTACAGTTTTAACTCAAATCTACTTGAAAATCTATGGCAAGAACTGAAAATGGTTATCTAGCAATGATCAACAACCAATTTGACAGAGTTTGAAGAATTAAGAGAAAAATAATGAACAAATGTTAAACAATCTAGGTGTGGAAAGCTCTTAGAGACTTACCCAGAAAGACTCACAGCTGTAATCGCTGCCGAAGGTGCTTCTACAAAGTATTGACTCAGGGGTGTGAATACTTATGTAAATGACATATTTCTGTATTAATTTTCAATAAATGTGCAACATTTTGGGGTATTGTGTGTAGATGGGTGAGAAAAAATAATTTACATTTACGTCATTTACAGTGGCGGCTGGCCGATAGAGGGCGCTAGGGCGCCGCCCCCTTAAATAAAATTATTTTAAAAAATAAAATAAAAATAATAATAATAATAATAAAAACATCAGTATGTCAATATTTGTGTGTTTGAAATATGGAATGCACACAGTAATATGTGTAAGATATGATAGAAAATCATATTCTCAACCTTTCCTCTGCCTGTCAAACGCCTCGTCAGCTCTGGGCGATACAGAAAGTGCCCCGAGGAGGCGGGTCTACGTAGCAGTTAAGCCAATTGCTAATTTAAGATATGAATGTATGACATAAAATGTAGCCAATCAGCGATCTTAAATCAAATCCAAGGAGGGCGATTATTTTATCGCCCCAAGCTCGCCCCTGATAAAATAAGGACCGGGCTCCAGTGGCGCCATTTTTACTAGACGACAATGGCGAGCGCAAACGTTACTCCTCCAAGACCCAACCCTAACTCGGTGAAATCTCTCCTCCAAGATCCGTTTGAGAGGAGAACTTTGTCAGAGAAAGTTCGGGTGAAAGAGCTGGGCCCAGATCAACCTGACCTCTCAATCAGACAGCAGGCTAGCGAGAAAGGAAAGCAGTATATGCGCGGCTTCTCCCGTAGCTGGTACACCAGGAAGGCTTGGCTAGCTGGGTGCACTGATGCTAATGCTTTATTTTGCTTTCCGTGCTTGCTTTTTAAAACGACGGGGTCAGATTCAGCATGGACAGGTACCGGAGTGAGGGATATGAAGCACCTGTCAGAGAAGGTAAAGAAACATGAGAACACCAGGGCACACATGGACAACTCTGTAAAGCTAGCTGTATTAGGAAGGGTGAACATTGCTACGCAGCTGGATGACGGCCACAGGATTGCGGTGAGGAAACACAATGAGGAGGTGGATAAAAACAGGCACATTCTATCCAAAATTATCGATTGTGTGAAGTTCTGTGGGGCTTTTTGATTTGGCCTTGCGTGGGCACGAGGAGACTGACTCCTCGGACAACCCCGGCATTTTCCGGGGCTTAGTGGATTTTGTTGCCTCCCTCGACAGTGTGCTGGAGGAGCACCTGAAGACAGCTACCGTTTTTAAGGGCACGTCAAAGACGATACAGAACGAGCTGTTGGACTGTATGCTGTCAGTGCTTAAGGATTACATCCTGGAGGAAGTAAAGAGTGCTGATTTTATCGCCATTCAAGCTGACGAGACGACTGACGTTTCCACCCACTGCCAGTTGGTGCTTGTGATACGCTACATCGATGCTAAAAGTAACGTCCAAGAGCGTTTTTTCGAGTTCATTTTGATCGAGAACGCAACCGCCGACACCATCGCTACAGCGCTGCTGGAGAGGCTCAGCACCATACTCTCACATGGACAAAAGGCCAAACTTATTGCCCAGGCTTACGACGGAGCAAGTGTGATGAGGGGAGCCACCGGCGGAGTGCAGCGTAAAATAGTGGATGTGTACGAAAATGCGCACTACGTCCACTGCTATGCACATCAGCTGAACCTCATCATGCAGCAGGCTACTTCACGCATCCCCAGGATCGGCACTTTCTTTTCCGACCTTGCAGGATTTTCTGCTTTCTTCTCCAGGTCTCCCAAGCGAACCACCGTGCTTGACGAAGTGGTTGCGCATAGACTCCCCAGAGCCTCTACAACACGGTGGAACTTCCACAGTCGCGCTGTAAACACTGTGTACGAGTACAGGGATGACCTCCTAACGTGTTTCCAGACCATCAGAGACTCTGGGAACTTTGATGCCCCGACTGTCAGAGAGGCGGGGGGCTTTGTGAGGATGCTCGAAGACGAGGCTTTCTGTTTTTTCCTGGCACTGTTCCACAAGATCATGCCAAATGTGGACATGCTTTTCAGCCAGCTGCAGAAGAGGAACATCGACCCTGTCTTCATTAAAGCACTTGTCCAGAGGTTCACAGACAGCATGCTAACAATCAGGTAAATAACTATATTTACTATTGGCTGATAAAGATGTTGTTAGAAAGATGAATAGTTCACTTACAACAGTTTAAAAGCCTAAATGTGTCTGGTCATCAAAGTGAGTGATTATCATAGAGCCGTCACAATTATATTTGTTTTAGTATTTTAAAAGGAAATGGAAGACACAATCAGACGTTGATAATAATGCAGGAAAGTACTACACAGTTTGTAATAATTATTCAGGTGTCCACCAGGTCAATTTCTAGAAGAGGCCTAGTTGTTATTGAAGATTAACTTTATTGCTAAGTGCACAGCAGAACAAAATGATGTTGCATCCCTCTCACAAATGTAATAGAAAAAGGCTTTAAAACGTAATAACATCAGTTAATTATGTACATCACAGGTTAAAAGCAGTTACTAGACATAGTTTGTGTGTATATACACACTATCTGTCTGTCTGTCTGTCTATATATATATATATATATATATATATATATATATATATATATATATATATATAAAAGTCACTGGTTGTGTGTTGAGGGGGAATTACAGTGAGTTAAGAAGTCTGATTGCAAGTTATCAAATTAAACTTTATTTTTTGGACCCAGGGCCTCAATTCCCTCTTTGTGTGGGGACAGCGCATCTGACGAGCAGCAACAGCCCATCAAGCGACGGAGGATGCTGGGACCAGGAGAACAACAGAGGTTGGCTATAGAGGTAAGTTGTGATGTAATTGTCAGTGTTTCCCCCTAGAACTTTTTTCAGGCCTGGTAGTATGTAGCCAAAACCCTGAACAATCAGCACCTTGGTAATCATATACTTGAGTTGGACATAGGCATGTGTCAGTCAGGATCACTTGCATCAAAATAGTTTAATTGCAAATTAAAGCTGATGATGTATCTTTTACAGGTATGTGATACCATCCTGAGTCATGCCAAAGAAAGGTTCTCCTTCACCCAGCACCTCATCAGCGCAACACTATTGCACGGAGAGTTGTTCCCACAACACAGTGTGAAGTTCCCCGATACAGCGCTTGAAACGACCGTGGAGGCGTACCCCATGTTGAACAAGGCCAAGCTCAAAACCGAACTGTCCCTCATCTATGAGAACAGTGAGTTCAAGGCTTGTAGTGGTGCAGTGCCCCTGTACCAGTTCTTCATGGAGAACAACCTTCAGAGCACTTTCACAGAGACTGCCAGCCTCCTCAATATCCTCATCACCACACCCATGACAACTGCTGAGTCAGAAAGGTGCTTCTCTACACTGAAAAGGATCAAGACCTTCCTGAGAAACAGCATGACACAGGATCGCCTGAACGCTCTGGCCATGCTCTCCATGGAGAAGAAACTTGTCAGGGACATTCCTGACTTTAATCAAAGGGTCATTGAGAGGTTTGCCACTCAGAAGGACAGACGGGCAAAATTCCTGTACAAATAAGATGACAGACACACACACACAGAGCAGCTCTGGCCGCATGTTTCTTTGTATATAGTTGACCTTAGCATAAAAAATCCATTTATACAGTGGGGAAAAAAAGTATTTAGTCAGCCATCAATTGTGCAAGTTCTCCCACTTAAAAAGATGAGAGAGGCCTGTAATTTTCATCATAGGTACACGTCAACTATGACAGACAAATTGAGGGAAAAAAATCCAGAAAATCACATTGTAGGATTTTTAATGAATTTATTTGCAAATTATGGTGGAAAATAAGTATTTGGTCACCTACAAACAAGCATGATTTCTGGCTCTCACAGACCTGTAACTTCTTCTTTAAGAGGCTCCTCTGTCCTCCACTTGTTACCTGTATTAATGGCACCTGTTTGAACTGGTTATCAGTATAAAAGACACCTGTCCACAACCTCAAACAGTCACACTCCAAACTCCACTATGGCCAAGACCAAAGAGCTGTCAAAGGACACCAGAAACAAAATTGTAGACCTGCACCAGGCTGGGAAGACTGAATCTGCAATAGGTAAGCAGCTTGGTTTGAAGAAATCAACTGTGGGAGCAATTATTAGGAAATGGAAGACATACAAGACCACTGATAATCTCACTCAATCTGGGGCTCCACGCAAGATCTCACCCCGTGGGGTCAAAATGATCACAAGAACGGTGAGCAAAAATCCCAGAACCACACGGGGGGACCTAGTGAATGACCTGCAGAGAGCTGGGACCAAAGTAACAAAGCCTACCATCAGTAACACACTACGCCGCCAGGGACTCAAATCCTGCAGTGCAAGACGTGTCCCCCTGCTTAAGACAGTACATGTCCAGGCCCATCTGAAGTTTGCTAGAGTGCATTTTGATGATCCAGAAGAGGATTGGGAGAATGTCATATGAAACCAAAATAGAACTTTTTGGTAAAAACTCAACTCGTCGTGTTTGGAGGACAAAGAATGCTGAGTTGCATCCAAAGAACACCATACCTACTGTGAATCATGGGGTTGGAAACATCATGCTTTGGGGCTGTTTTTCTGCAAAGGGACCAGGACGACTGATCCGTGTAAAGGAAAGAATGAAAGGGGCCATGTATCGTGAGATTTTGAGTGAAAACCTCCTTCCGTCAGCAAGGGCATTGAAGATGAAACGTGGCTGGGTCTTTCAGCATGACAATGATCCCAAACACACCGCCCGGGCAACGAAGGAGTGGCTTCGTATGAAGCATTTCAAGGTCCTGGAGTGGCCTAGCCAGTCTCCAGATCTCAACCCCATAGAAAATCTTTGGAGGGAGTTGAAAGTCTGTGTTGCCCAGCGACAGCCCCAAAACATCACTGCTCTAGAGGAGATCTGCATGGAGGAATGGGCCAAAATACCAGCAACAGTGTGTGACAACCTTGTGAAGACTTACAGAAAACGTTTGACCTGTGTCATTGCCAACAAAGGGTATATAACAAAGTATTGAGAAACTTTTGTTATTGACCAAATACTTATTTTCCACCATAATTTGCAAATAAATTCATAAAAAAATCCTACAATGTGATTTTCTGGATTTTTTTTCCTCATTTTGTCTGTCCTAGTTGACGTGTACCTATGATGAAAATTACAGGCCTCTCTCATCTTTTTAAGTGGGAGAACTTGCACAATTGGTGGCTGACTAAATACTTTTTTTCCCCACTGTATATGGTACTCTAGAAAGTCTTAATAGTGTCTTTGCTAATATTACTGTATATATGTTGTTTTGTATCAATTAATTGTTGCAGTTCTGGAGCACATTAACAATTAGTCACATTTAGTATGATCATAAAATACTGTATGCTATTCTTCCAGTCAAAGGTTTGAGTTCATCCACTTGATATCCATTTCTATATTATACATCCTTTTATACAGTGTAAGATTTCCTATAAACTTTATAATAATTTCATGTTATTGTCCACTTTCCACTCTGTTCTGACAGCATGCCTGTTGCGTTGCCTGTTTACTACCAATGGTGAAAAGTTCACTTTAAATGCAAATGAAAGGCTTGGGTTTGTGTAATATGTTTTTGTGTAAGAATGCCTCAACTTTTTAATATTGGCATTAAATAATTACTGAATGTTTCACTGAGCACTGCTGTCCTGCAGTTTGTGTTAAAATATATCGCGATGGTTACAGGAAAAAAAAAAAGTATGGCACAGCCCCACCGAGAATATTTTTCACCAGCCGCCACTGGTCATTTAGCAGACGCTCTTATCCAGAGCGATTTACAAATTGGTGCATTCACCCTATAGCCAGTGGGATAACCACTTTACAATTTTTTTGGGGGGGATAACCAGTTTACAAATCAATGTAATTTTTTGATTCAAGCTGTAACACAACAAGATGTGGAATAAGTCAAGGGGTGTGAATACTTTCTGAAGGCACTGTATGTCTGCTTGTTCTCATGTTGTCTTTTTGGTCTCGTCTCCTTCGCTCCTTTTGCTGTGACTGTGCACTGTCCCACACACACACCAAGCCCCTCCCCCTGCCACTCACAACAAAAAAGATGAGAGATCACTTTTTCCTCTCAGACAACAAGCCGTTTCAACTCGCTATTTGCATTTGAGGTTTGGTGAACGGAGTCGGTCATATGGACACTGAAATACATTGAGACATTATTTTACTGTAATAGACAAGAACTTAACCTTTCTAACGAGACCCTTTTTATGTCTCAACTCCTCAAATTGCGCGAAGGGCAGACCCTACTAAAGCGGGAGTATCATTGAACATTGATTCTGGAAAATGAATGCTTAGTTTCTGTCGCGCTTGGCATTGCGGTACAGCGTACCTAGCAGCATTTTAGCCACATACTGTTATACTAGCGGTCTGGTCTGTGTTTTATAAATGTCCAATGAGCATAAAAAACTATTATATAGAAATAAGGTAGGCCACTTGATTTCAGCATCTGAACAAAGTGGACAGGCTAGCATGCTGTTCAAGCAGTTGGAGACGGACAGAAGGGTGTGTTCATAACAATTCAACTCTTCTACCTTGTTATCTAGCAAATAGATCCAATTTGGCTATACTTTAAACATAAAAATGTAATACCATTTTATTTGTCACATGCTTCGTAAACAACAGGTGTAGACTAACAGTGAAATGCTCCCTTCTCCAACAATGCAGAGTTAAAGATAAGGTAAAAAAAATAAAAATAAAATATATATAATTGAAATGGTGACACAAGGAATACACAGTGAATAACTAATAATAATAATGTCTATATATAGGGAGTAGAAAATAACATGGCTATATACAGGGAGTACCAGTACCGAGTCGATGTGCAGGGGTACGAGGTAATTGAGGTATCTATGTACATATAGGTAGGGGTAAAGTGACTAGTCAACAGGATAGATAATAGACAGTAGCAGCAGCATATGTGGTGTCAGTATGCATGCGTGTGCATGTTATGTGTGTGTGTGTTGGGGTGTCACTGTAAGTGTGTGTGTGTGGGTAGAGTCCAGTGGTGTGTGTGTGAGTCAGTGCAAGAGAGTTAGTGCAAAAAAGGGGCAATGCAGGTCATCCGATTTAGCTATTTAGCAGAAAGGTTAGCTGGCTACTCACTAGCATGTGGGCTTGTGCTTGAAAGGTTGTTTAGGAGACCTGTGTTAATTTTCTATAATGCCTGCTACAAGAAGTTAGTCATTATTAGTAAATGTACATTATGCATGGTTCTGGTTACATTTTTAACAAAAGGCATTTTCATAGACACACTTGAAAGACAAAGCAGGTTAAACTATTTTGATAATGGTTGTGGAAGGCTTATATTTAGCCTAGGTATAATGTCACAAGCTCTGAATTCATTAGATTGTTGCTGACTGTTTGAAATGCAGTGTATTTTACCTTTAATTGTACAACAAAGCTTATTTAGAGAAATCATAAAAAATTGAGATATACACTGAGTGTACAAAACATTAGGAACATCTTCCTAATATTGAGTTGCACCCCCTTTTGCCCTCAGACCAGCCTCAATTCATCAGGTCATGGACTCTACAAGGTGTTGAAAGTGCTCCACAGGGATGCTGGCCCATGTTGACTCCAATGCTTCTCACAGTTGTCAAGTTTGCTCTATGTCCTTTGGGTGGTGGACCATTCTTGATACACATGGGAAAGGAAATGGTTGAGTGTGAAAAACCCAGCAGCATTGCAGTTCTTGACACACTCAAACCGGTGCGCCTGGACACCTACGACCATCCCCCGTTCAAAGGCACTTAAATATTTTGTCTTGCCCATCCACCATCTGAATGGCACACATACACAATCCATGTCTCATTTGTCTCAAGGCTTAAAAATCCTTCTTTAACCTGTCTCCTCCCCTTCATCTACACTGATTTGAAGTGGATTTAACAGGTCACATCAATAAGGGATCATAGCTTTCACCTGGATTCACCTGTTTAGTCTGTGTCATTGAAAGAACAGGTGTTCCTAATGTTTTTGTGCACTCAGTTTATATCGTGAATCGCTAGAAAAAAATGGAGATCATGATTTTTAGGCCATATCACTCAGCAGCAGTTGATGGAGAGTGGAGGCATGGGTATTTGAAGTCTTCAAAGTAAGGTTTTCAGGAGATATTTTTAAAGTTACACTTGTAGCTCTTTGAAGTATGAGAGGCTATGGCTTGTATAAATCACAATAATCCCTATGGAGAATTTATAGCTGTGATATATTACAAGGTTACTATCAACCATTATGGGAAAATGTTGGGTAGGCCTGGAAAATAGCCTGAAATCCGAGATGTCACATTGATAGAATTTTACCATAGCTCTTCAAAGAAGTAGCTAGGAGTAATGACTTATTCTCAAGAAGATGTAAAACAACAACACCGGCCCAGACAGTTGATTTCTTTCTTGAAATGTGCAGTAGTTTGAGTTACACTGTTGGTTTCAACAGAAACCCTCAAGGGAGAACATTAGCCTACACTTTATGTAACAGGGTTACGTTTTATTTGATTTATTATTGATTTTATGATTGTCATCTGTTAAGCTGGTTACCAAACCTGAGTTGCAAACCATCTACATGCCTTCACTACCCACAAAGCACTATTCCTCACTTTGCTTTCTCTTTTCAGTTTACACCAATATATTTTAAATTCTTCCCTTCTCCTGGGGGTATGAATGGATAGCCTATAGCAGGAAAATCTTTTCCATTCAGTCCAATTTTTTTTTTTTTTTTTTTTTTTTTTTTTTTTAGGTCATTTAGCAGACGCTCTTATCCAGAGCGACTTACAGGAGCAATTAGGGTTAAGTGCCTTGCTCAAGGGCACATCGACAGATTTTTCACCTAGTCGGCTCGGGGATTAGAACCAGCGACCTTTCGGTTACTGGCACAACGCTCTTAACCACTAAGCTACCTGCCGCCCAAATTAGCTGGAGTGAAGGGACAACCCCATTCACTGCCTAGGCTAATAGGCTAAATTGAATTTGTCTTAGACCCACTAACTTGCACAGAGGCGATATGGGAAGTTGGGCACACAGGCAAAAAACAATGTTTAATTAAAAATAAGCTATCTGGCAAAGGTGCATAGGTTGACAATCTACATGGGAATGCTGTTTGGGCATTGAACCTGTGTCCCACATGTAGCCTAGGCCTATCTGTTTCTTTACTATACTCCTTACAATACAATGTTGAGGAACTTGCCAAAGTTGTTTCTACTTAACTGGATTGGAGCAGCCTTTAGTAGTACAAGCCATTCAAATAGTTGATACTTACTAAAAGGCATAGGCCATCGCCATGTGATAACACAGCGAAGGGAAATGTTTATGTTGAAGAGGAAATATTTTCATTAGAGCGTATTAATTGCAATTGGTATGTCACTGGGACGTGTACCTTTTTGAAAAGGTTATCGAGTGTTGTTTCTGTCGTTCTCCTTTCCAGACTATGCAAGTGGCGCGATGCCCAACAGACGATCTGTCACTTACCAACTGCGCAGTCGTGAGTGAGAAGGACCCACAGTTTGAACAGTAAGTATTGTGTGTGTGACAGCTATATGGTTGTATGCTGTGTGTGCATGTACATGTGTTTTGATCCCCAGCCCTGAGGTGCCTCTGTCACATCAAAGGCCAGTGTGTGTGTGTGTAGCGGTACATCACAATGGATCACTGGGGCTCAGTTTTCTAGCCATGATGCCAAAAGCCCCAGGGCCGTCACATTCTCTGTCTATGGCTGCTCTGATTTCCTTCTCCGTCACATCACCAAATAATGTTGTTCTGTCTTCTCATCTCTGGCCTTGCACCTGTCCGTCTCGGGCAGGTGTGGGACTCACCAAAGCTCTCTTACCTGGTCAAAGAAGTAACCCACCTCAGCAGAAAAATGTCACCATGGAACATATGGTCTCTCTCTCTCAGAGAGGGAGAGTTGAATGTTGATGTACTGTAGGGTCTTGACCCATTGAAGGGGATTTTAAAATGTATAAAATTATCTCTCAATATCATGCTTGCTAGCCATGTAAACATGCATATTGTAGTTTTCTCTGTATGGTATGATAATCCTCTTCTCCTCTATGCAGTCACGTGACCGTGAGAACCACGCCGACCCACAAGTTTGTGTTCACAGTGAAGACCCACCAGAGTGTGGTCCCAGGGACCATCGCCTTCAGTCTGCCCCAGGTAGGAGCCACCATCATGGCTTTCATAAATAGGCTACACACTGGGTTCCAAGCTATCCTTACTTGAATGTCTTGTTGAAATGTAATGTAATGATAAACTGACTAAAAGTCTAACCCACATATTCAGGGCATTGTAACTAAAGCCATTATTTCATCAATGATGATAAAGTTGGTTAATACAAGTGCAGCGTAGTAACAATGTGTAGATGAAGTTGACACCTTCTGAGCTTCTTACTTAAGCTGAGTCCATCTTCTGACTGTATTTTACTTTAGCTGTCTGGCTACTATGGCCCGTCTGTCTGCACGCTCCTTCTCTCTCTGTTGTCTTCTATCATGTGTGTCACTGCTTTTGACCTTTGACCTTGCCTGTCTCTGCCTGCTCTTTCTCTGTCTATAAACTCTGCAGCCACAGCGGCACACAGGTACTGCGGTAACTTCCTCCACACCCAGTCTTATTTTACAACTAGATTGGAGTATAAACAGAAGCAGTTGTAAATAGGACCGTAGAAACATTTGAAGATGTAGCAATGCACTACACGATAACTCTTGACTGGACATTTGTCAATGGCCTAATGCTCCATACAGCAGCCAAGAGCTTTGGCCTAAGTCATGGAAAGTAGGTGACACGTCGGTTCAAAAACCCTTAGCCTGGTCCGGACGGTTTCTGACCATTGTGTGACTGATGTTCTTCTTGAAAGATGTTGTAAAATAAGACCATGCTTAAGAGGAATGTTAGCCAACATCACTGTCTTTGTCAGAACACCCTAGTTATTACTGATGGTTCATTGGAGGTGTACTGTCTTATTAGTTGCCCACATATGTTAGAATGTCTCTTTTTCCTGTACCTTATTGCTGGGTAACTGGATTTTATAAACAGTGATGCCCTTTTTCTATTGTCTTTGATTGCATAGTTAATACAAAGGAAATGTGTGAACTGTACACTGACTAGGATACATTACTTATTTTTCAGAGAAAATGGGCAGGCCTCTCAATTGGTCAGGATGTGGAAGGTAAGAGTAAATCATGATGATATTGAACTGTGAGGTGAATGCAGGAAGACAAGGTGCTGTCTCTCGACTTCTCTGAATTATTCTCATTGATTGCCATTGTATTACTGCTCTCCTATCATTAGCCACCAGATGGCTAGCTCAGTCTCGATAATAAAAACCCAACATCCCTCTCTAGCAAAAACCCTGTAACTTAATCATGTTTCACTCTGAAGGTTATAGAGAAGTTTCTCCTCTGCCAGAGAAATGCCAATTATCCCATGATCCTTTGCTGCAGCGATAGAGCTTCAAATGGCCACCCCCTGCCTGTTGATTGAAATCTAGGGTGTTTCTCAAAATGCATACTACCGTGCTCCGAGCACGCAAATTGGAGCACGGTAGGGTCGGAGTGTGAGTCCAAATCAAAGTATGCAAAACGGAGCATGGAGGGCACTTCTCGGATGCGAGTGGCTACGGATATAGAGTTTCTGTATCGCAATTTGCCCAGGCGAAATATATGGCGTTTTTTTTTTACATAGCTGAGTGCCCACTCCGCTGCCTACGTAGCTGCTGTGCTGAGTGCTCCACTACCACTCCCCCCTCCTTGATCGCTTTTGTCTGGTCACTGGTGTAACCTACAAAATTCATGTTGTACACAAAACTGTTCAATCTATTGCATTCCATGCCTCAGTAAGCGTAAGCGCGATTTCATGTTATTTTTTCAGGAGGGGAGTAGGCTACATGCAGCTATTTACATGTTTTACAGAAAACACATTATCGACATGTTCGTACAAACTTTGTTGTCATTATTGCAAACGTACACTGAGTGTGCAAAACATTAGGAACACCTGCTCTTTCCATGACAGACTGTGATCCCTTATTGATGTCACCTGTTAAATCCACTTCAATCAGTGTATATGAAGGGGAGGAGACAGGTTGAAGAAGGATTTTTAAGCCTTGATACATGGATTGTGAATGTGTGCCATTCAGAGGGTGAATGGGCAAGACAAAATATTTAAGTGCCTTTGAACAGGGGACGGTCATAGGTGCCAGGCGCACCAGTTTGAGTGTGTCAAGAACTGCAACGCTGCTGGGTTTTTCACACTCAACAGTTTCCCATGTGTATCAACAAGAAGAAGATTAAGAAGATGGCGCTGACAGACATGGCAGCTCTGCTTCTAGCTCCTAAGCAACTTTGCAGTATGTTGTTTTTTTGTGTGTTATTTCTTACATTATTAGCCCAGAATGTTTTTTTGTGTTATTACATACAGACGGAAATAACTTTTGGATATCAGAGCGGCGGTAACTCACCAGCATTAAGAACAGAAATACGACTTTCCCAAATTGGATCCTCTGTTCGTACCCCCCAATAAAGTAGACGAGCTCAGGGCGAGGATCTCCTTCCAGAGAGACATCAGGGACTGTAACATACTCTGTTTCACAGAATCATGGCTCTCTCCGGATATACTGTCCCCGTCCATACAGCCAGCTGGTTTCTTAGTACATTGCGCGGACAGGAATAAAGTCCTTTTGTACACCCGACCTAGAATATCTCACAATCAAATGTTGACTGTATTACTTCCCAAGAGAATTATCTTTGGTTATAGTCACAGCCGTGTATATTCCCCCTCAAGCCGATACCACGATGGCCCTCAAGGAACTACACTGGACTTTGTGCAAACTGGAAACCACATATCCTGAGGCCGCATTTATTGTAGCTGGGGATTTTTAACAAAGCAAATTTGAAGAAAACGCTACCAAAGTTCTATGTTCTATAGCTCTGCCTTAAAGCCAATTCATGCTTGCACTGGCAATGCGATCCGGAGGCTCCGTACACAGGGTTTGACACAATTGCGGCGTCTCCGGAGGCTTGCAGAGGCCAAATCGAGCTCTGTCTCCAAATCTTTTTAACAATGCGGAGGGCTCTGTATAGCTCCGCGTTGACATGATTGGTTGACTATAGGTGGGGCCGGGAGGTCCTGTATAAACGCAAACTCACTTCCTTGACAACAGCTCTGCTCCGCGAAGCACAAGAAGTATGAATGCTCTGACTTCTGCGGAGGCCGCATCTCAGTAAATGTTGTACGGCCACTGCAGATGATGGATTGACCATGCAGAGCCTTTTGTCCTGGTGGTCCAGATCTGTTTAATGCTTTGGTCAACTCCTCTCTGTGTTCGTTCTTTGTCAAGCCAAACATGTAGGGATGACAATGATAGTTGGCTACAACACATGCAGTATGGGACCAGACTAGCTCTGCCTAGGATAACATGATTTTAGTCAAGATGTGCCCCTCTGAAAGTATTATAAGCAAAGTGTCGCTATGTAAAGAGACCCTGACCTGGAATAGAGCTGGTAATTGGCTCGTTTGCATAATTACGGTACTGCAACACAAAGTGGGTGTGAACAGATGTTGAAAGAACATCTAGTTCCTTCAGCCCTGTGTTGCAGAGTGTGCTCTCTCAGGTGTGAGGTCCTGAACAACAGGCCCATTTGAACTCACTGTAACGTGAACAGTACACTGTAACAGATGGTCATTATTATTTCACCAAGTGCTTCAATATACATCATCCATTAGAAAACGATGACACAAAAGTGGTTTGTCCTTGATTAGGTTGTTCATGGAATATGCTGCAAAGTGAATAGCACTAACGAGCAAGGTACTATAATTGAACACCAACCAGACTTTTTACATTGTAAAAACTCTTCTGCTATGTCACTGTGTGTGTCCTTTCTCTGCTCTGTGTCCATGTAGTGACCAGCTACAACTTTAACAAGTCCAAGCAGTGTGTGGGCACCATGACGGTGGAGATTGACTTCCTGCAGAAGAAGAGTGTGGACAGCAGCCCCTACGACTCAGACAAGATGGCTACAGAGTTCATCCAGCACTTCAACAGCCAAGCCTTCAGTGTGGGCCAGCAGGTACTGGAACTATAGCCTACAGAAGGAAGCTGGGATGACAGGGTGGGGTTAGACACATACATCTTAGAGGACTTTGGTGGTCTTGAGGCTCTTGGTGGAAGTTGCCCTTAGAATAAGATCTAGGATCAGCTTACCCTCATTACAAACCATAACCATTGCAAGGTGGCAAAACTGATTGTAGATCATTATCAAGGGCTAACATTGTCGTACTCTTGGCTTTAGGTTGAGGGGTAGCATAGAGTGAACTTCTCTGTCACGCCCTGGCTCTGGGGACTCTCGTATGTTGAGCCAGGGTGTTAGTTTCTATGTTTTTGTGTTCTAGGTTGTGTTGCTTCTAGTTTGGTATTTCTATGTTGGCCAGGGTGGTTCCCAATCAGAGACGGCTGTAGCTCGTTGTCTCTGATTGGGAGCCATACTTAGGTAGCCGTTTGGCATTTGTTTAATGTGGTATCTTGTTCCGTTTGGTTTGTGTAACCGTAGGACTTCACGTTTCGTATCGTTTGTTGTTTTGTTCGTTGTGTGTACACTGAAATAAATATGTACGCATATCACGCTGCGCCTTGGCCCGCTTCTTCTCAAGACGATCGTGACAGAAGATACCACCACGACTGGGTCAAGCAGCGTGATGAGGAGAGAGGTTGGAATTGGGAGCAGTGGAGTGAGAGTTGGGCGAGAACCATGGAGGCCTGGTCCACGGGGGAGAGACAAGCCCAGACATTTTTTAGGGGGGGGGCTCACGCCGTGGACGACGGGGCAGCAGGAGTACGGGATAGAGTGGTTCAGAGGGTTGGCAGAGGAGGCCGCCAGGTTACGGGAGTTACTGGACACCAGGGGGAAGGAGAATGTAGAGGCACGGCGAGAGGTACTGGGGTGTGTTGCCAGTCCGGTCCGGCCCGTTCCTGATCCCTGCGTAGGGCCGGTGGCGTGTGTCCCCAGTACGGTCCGGCCTGTTCCTGTCTCTCGCACCGAGCCTGTGGTGCGTGTCGCCAGCCCTGGTCCGGCCTGTTCCTGCCTCTCGCACCGAGCCTGTGGTGCGCGTCGCCAGCCCGGTCCGGCCTGTTCCTGTCCCTCGCACCAAGCCTGTGGTGCGCGTCGCCAGCCCGGTCCGGCCTATTCCTGCCCCTCGCACCAAACCAGTGGTGCGCGTCGCCAGCCCGGTTCGGCCTGTTCCTGCCCCTCGCACCAAGCCAGGGGTGCGCGTCACCAGCCCGGTCCGGCCCGTTCCTGCTCCCCGCACCAAGCCAGTGGTGCGCGTCGCCAGCCCGGTCCGGCCCGTTCCTGCTCCCCGCACTAAGCCTGTGGTGCGCGTCGTCAGCCCGGTCCGGCCCGTTCCTGCTCCCCGCACCAAGCCAGTGGTGCGCGTCGTCAGCCCGGCCCGGCCTGTTCCTGATCCCCGCACCAAGCCAGTTTTGCGCGTCGCCAGCCCGGTCCGGCCTGTTCCTGATCCCCGCACCAAGCCAGTGGTGCGCGTCGTCTGTCCGGCACAGCCCGTGCCTGTTCCACCGGTGCCTGGTCCGGCACCGGTCAGCTGCTCCACTCCGGAGCTAGAGCAATCCGCTCCACCAGTATTCAGTCCAGCTCCGGCCAGCAGGGCCAGACCGGACCAGGGGCGCTTTGGGGGGTTAGAGAGGGAGTGGGGGTCATGCCCGGAACCGGATCCGCCGCCGAGGCGGAGTGCCCACCCGGTCCCTCCCCTGTTGTGTTTGGTTGGCGCGGTCGGAGTCCGCGCCTTTGGGGGGGGGGGTACTGTCACGCCCTGGCTCTGGGGACTCTCGTATGTTGAGCCAGGGTGTTAGTTTCTATGTTTTTGTGTTCTAGGTTGTGTTGCTTCTAGTTTGGTATTTCTATGTTGGCCAGGGTGGTTCCCAATCAGAGACGGCTGTAGCTCGTTGTCTCTGATTGGGAGCCATACTTAGGTAGCCGTTTGGCATTTGTTTAATGTGGTATCTTGTTCCGTTTGGTTTGTGTAACCGTAGGACTTCACGTTTCGTATCGTTTGTTGTTTTGTTCGTTGTGTGTACACTGAAATAAATATGTACGCATATCACGCTGCGCCTTGGCCCGCTTCTTCTCAAGACGATCGTGACATTCTCAAATGATTTAATAGCCCAAACATTTTTATTGTGTACTTAGATTGTGACAATTTGCCACAGTTTGTATTTATGTGTTCTGCATGCTGTTATGATGCTTTACATTCTTCTTACCTTCTAACATTGGCCACTCTTCTTCCTCTTTCTTGATGTCTCTAGCTGGTGTTTAGTTTCTGTGATAAGCTGTTTGGCCTGCTGATAAAAGACATTGAAGCCATGGACCCCAGCATCCTCAAGGGAGAAGCAGGCTCTGGGAAGAAGCACAAGGTACCTAGAGACCCAATCGACCTATCTCAGGACCTCGATTATCTCCATTAGATACAGTTTATATATTATTAATAAACGTTACATTACATAGGATTATTCATACACTTTAACTAATCTAGCTGACTATAGGTATACAGTAGTTATAGTGTACATAACACGGTGAAGTAAGTCACACCCAAGGTGCTAGATAGTAAGGTAAATTCACATGGAGAGCTGTTGGAATTCTCTCAGTCCACCATCTGCTCACTCCTAACTGTCTTCTATCTCTGTGGTCTTTACAGATTGACATTGGCTTGTTGCTGGGAAACAGCCAGGTGGTTTTCGAGAAGGCAGAGAGCTCCTCTCTTACCCTCATTGGTAAGTGTCATCCCTGGCTCGCTCCGATGCAGAAAACTGGCAGTGTGTGACGCTATCTTGTATTAAGTGGCTACAGCAAATCTATTTAGTCTCACTCCATTACAGAATGTGTAAATCAGGGTATATATATCTGACAAGTTGATCCGCTCAAAGCGTGGTTCTCAGCATATTAAGATGTAAAAAGGCTTGACATTTGCGTATTTAACTAAAGTGGATTTGCTTCTTTTGGCTAAGCTAAGTGACATTCGGCCTCACTAAACCACACGCTAAACCACCCTTACTGACTTTATCTATTTGTGGCATGTGCTTGTTACCCAATACAACCACAAGGTGGCACCCTGTCCACAGTTTTAGTTTGGCTTTCATCTTGCTCTCAGAAGTTTTGAGTGATGAAATTCTAGATGGCCCTAGAGGGGAAAGTGTCATTTTTTCCAGTGGCATGTTAAGTACATGTTTCTTTATGTCTTTGATGGAATATTTAGTTAATACATTAAAAGCTTTACACCATTCCCCCTCTATGAGCTAAGAGTTGCAGCTAGTGCCAGGTTTACACACATACAAAACACTAATGGAAGAAGAAAAGGTCAAAGGAATCAGATCTTCAGGTTAACATGAACTTTTTTAGCTTATTTTTTGTGTATTTTATGCCCTTCTGAAAATCACAGGTGCAAACTTCACACAGGCACAAACACTTAGCAGGTAAATTATCCTCTGTAATTCAGTTGGTAGAGCATGGCGCCTGCAACGCCATGATAGTGGGTTTGATTGCCGGGACCACCCATACATAAAATGTATGCACACATGACTGTAATTTGCTTTGGATAAGCATCTGCTAAATGGCATATATTATTATTATTATTATTATTATTATTATTATTATTATGTATTAAATATTTCTCTCTGTACCTTCGGAAAGTATTCAGACCCCTTGACTTTTTCCACATTTTGTTACGTTACAGCCTTATTCTAAAATGGATTAAATAAATAAAAATCCTCAGCAATCTACACACAATACCCCATAATGACAAAGCGAAAACAGGTTTGTAGAATTTGTAGCAAATGTATTAAAAATAGAAAAACAGAAATACCTTATTTACATAAATATTCAGACTGTTCGCTATGAGACTCAAAATTGAGCTTAGGTGCATCCTGTTTCCATTGATCATCCTTGAGATGTTTGTACAACTTGATTGGAGTCGACCTGTGGTAAATTCAATTGATTGGACATGATTTGGAAAGGCACACACCTGTCTATATAAGGTCCCACAGTTGACAGTGCATGTCAGAGCAAAAACCAAGCCATGAGGTTGAAGAAATTGTCCGTAGAGCTCCGAGACAGGATTGTGTCGAGGCACAGATCTGGGGAAGGGTACCAAAACATGTATGCAGCATTGAAGGTCCCCAAGAACACAGTGGCCTCCATCATTCTTAAATGGAAGAAGTTTGGAACCACCAAGACTCTTCTTAGAGCTTGCCGCCCGGCCAAACTGAGCAATCGGAGGAGAAGGGCCTTGGTCAGGGAGGTGACCAAGAACCCAATGGTCACTTTGACAGAGCTCCATAGTTCCTCTGTGGAAATGGGAGAACCTTCCAGAACGACAACCATCTATGCAGCACTCCACCAGTCAGGCCTTTATGGTAGAGTGGCCAGACGGAAGGCACTCCTCAGTAAAAGGCACATGACAGCCTGCTTGTAGTTTGCCAAAAGGTACTTAAAGACTCTCAGACCTTGAAAAACAAGATTCTCTGGTCTGATGAAACCCAGATTTAACTCTTTGGCCTGAATGCCAAGCGTCATGTCTGGAGGAAACCTGGCACCATCCCTACGGTGAAGCATGGTGGTGGGAGCATCATGCTGTGGGGATGTTTCTCAGCGACAGGGACTGGGAGACTAGTCAGGATCGAGGGAAAGATGAACGGAGCAAAGGACAGAGAGATCCTTGATGGAAACCTGCTCCAGAGCGCTCAGGACCTCAGACTGGGATGAAGGTTCACCTTCCAACAGGACAACGACCCTAAGCACACAGCCAAGACAACACAGGAGTGGCTTCGGAACAAGTCTCTGAATGTCCTTGAGTGGCCCAGCCAGAGCCCGGACTTGAACCCGATCTAACATCTCTGAAGAGACCTGAATGTAGCTGTGCAGCAATGCTCCCCATCCAACCTGACAGAGCTTGAGAGGATCTGCAGAGAAAGAAACTCCCCAAATACAGGTGTGCCAAGCTTGTAACATCATACCCAAGAAGACTCGAGGCTGCCAAAGGTGCTTCAACAAAGTACTGAGTAAAGGGTCTGAATACTTATGTAAATGTAATATTTCAGTTTTTTTAAATATATAAATTAGCAAGCATTTATAAAAAACTGTTTTTGCTTTGTCGTTATGGGGTATTGTGTGTAGGTTGATGAGGGGAAAAAAACAATTCGATAATTAGAATAAGGCTGTAACGTAACAAAATGTGGAAAAAGTCTAGGGGTCTGAATACTTTCCTAACGCACGGTATGTTTGTAACTGTGTCTCTCAATGTGTCCCCTACAGGGAAGGCTAAGACCAAAGAGTCTCGCCAGTCCATCATCAACCCAGACTGGAACTTTGAGCGCATGGGCATCGGTGGCCTGGACAAAGAGTTCTCCGACATCTTCCGTAGGGCCTTCGCCTCCCGGGTCTTCCCTCCAGACATCGTGGAGCAGATGGGTGAGCTTCTTCTCTATCCTCTCTCTCTCGCTCTGTCGCTCTTTCTCTTCCTCCATATTTCTTTCTCAACAGAAGTTTCTCTTGACTTTCACTCAATCAATCTTATTCACTCTTTCTTTCACATGCCTGTTGTCACACACTCGGTTTCACGCTCTCTCTTTCTAGTACTTTCCTTCTCTCATTCTTTTTATAGCTCACACTATGTGTATTTGTCTCTCACCACATCCCCCCGGTAACCACTTTTTGAGGTCCCAGGGTGCCTGTGTTCCAGCCTAGCGTTAGACAGACCGAACCATTAGCCACTGTGAGGAGGGGGGGCAGGACAGCCTGCCAAAACAAATCACTCAATCAGTCTCTGGATGGAACACCATGACATGAATAAGCCTCTGTGTTCAAATGGCATTGATTCTCAGACCAATACTGCACATTGTGACAAACACGTCAGACTATTTTCGGGGAAAAGCCTCTAACAAATGGACCCAATGGGAATACTATTATTGGACTGACAATGTAGTAGTGTCAATCTTTTCTCTTTGTTTGCCAACACTACTGCACACTAGACTGAAACTAGTTATTGAAAAATAAATCATTGTCTGACTCCCTCGGTTAGGCCCAAGAGGGCTTCCATCATTGGACAGACAATGTAGTGTCCTCTCGGGATGCCGCTCTCAGTCGTCAGTGAGTGAGTTATGACACAGGCACCCATCCCCCACGGAATGATCCATGCATACACTGCTAAATAGTTGTTTGACATGTCTCAGATTACAATGCTGATTCCCATTGCTAAATGATGGCTCATAGTGAAAGCAAGTTAGGTGCTCTTCTGCATCATCTTTACGCACACACACTCACACACTCACTCACTCACAGAGCCCCAGTCCTATCCTCGTGGCGTCCGGTATGAGTTTGAGAGGAGCTGATAGGTTGGGATGTTGGCAGTGAGGCCCTTTATATACTTCCCCAGAGTCAGATGAACTCGTGGACACCATTTTTATGTCTTTGTCTCCAGTATGAAGGGAAGTTAGAGGTACAGTGCCTTAAAAATGTACTTATTCCACATTTTGTTGTTACAGCCTGAATTCAAAATAGATTCAATAGATTTATTTTTCTTACCCATTTACACACAATACCCCATAATGACAAAGTGAAAACATGTTTTTAGAAATGAATGAAATACAGAAATATCTCAATTGCATAAGGATTCACACCCCTGAGTCAATACATTGTAGAAGCGGCGATTACAGCTTTGAGTCGTCTTTGGTATGTCTGTATCAGTTTTGCTTCCTTGCAGATTTTCTGAAGCTGTGTTATGTTTAATGGGGAGCGGCGATGAACAGATATCTTCAAGTCTTTCCACAGATTTTCAATAGGATTCAAGTCTGGGCTTTGGCTGGGTCACTCAAGGACTTTCACATTCTTGTTCTGAAGCCTTTCCAGAGTTGCTTTGGCTGTGTGCTTGGGATCATTGTCCTGTTGGAACGTAAATCTTCACCCCAGTCTAAGGTCATTTGCACTCTGAAGCAGGTGCTCATCAAGGGTTTGCCTGTATTTGGCTCCATTCATTGTTCCCTCTATCCTTACCAGTCTCCCAGTCCCTGCGGCTGAAAAGCATCCCCATAGCATGATGCTGCCACCACCACGCTTCACGGTAGGGATGGTGTTTTCTCCAGACATAGTGCTTTGCATTCAGGCCAGTTACATTTTTGTCTCATCAGACCACAGAATAATTTGCCTTATGCTCTGAGTCTTTCCAGTGCCTTTTTGCAAACTCCAGGTGTGCTGTCATGTGCCTTTACCTCAGGAGTGGCTTCTGTCTGACCACTCTCCCATAAAGCCCAGATTGGTGATGTGCTGTAGAGACTTTAGTCCTTCTGGCAGGTTCTCCCATCTCAGCCAAGGAACTCTGTAGTTCTGTCAGAGTGGTCTTGCCCGGTTGCTTAGATCGGTCGGACAGCCAGCTCTAGGCAGAGTCTGGGTAGTTCATTGTTTTTCAATTTCCCAATGATGGAGACCACTGTGCTCTTGTTAACTTTCAACACGCTACAAAATTGTTTTAAACCTTTCCCCAGATATATGCCTCATCACAATTCTATTTCTGAGCTCTACAGACAGTTCCTTGGACTTCATGGTATAGTTTCTGCTCTGACATGCACTGTCAACTGTGGGACCTTATTGTAGTAACATCTCAAGGGTGATCAAAGGAAATTCGATGCAGCTGAGCTCAATTTGGAGTGTCATAGCAAAGGGGTTTGAATACTTACAGTATGTAAATATTATATTTCTGTATTTCATTTTTTGCAAACATTTCTAAGAACATGTTTTCACGTTGTCATTTTGGGGTGTTGTGTATAGATGGGTGAGGGGGGAAAAAAGTAATCAATTTTGAATTCAGGCTGTAACACAACAAAATGTGGAATAAGTCGAGGGGTATGAATACTTTCTGAAGGCACTGTAGTTTCAAGAGCCAATGCTAACTAGCATTAGCGCAATGACTGGAAAGTCTCTGGGTATCTGCTAGCATGCTAGTAGATACCCATAGACTTCCAGTCCTTGCGCTAATGCTAGTTAGCATTGGCTCGCGAAACTACCCCTAACTTCCTTCATTCTTGACACAGAGACATAAAAATGGTATCCACTAGTTCGTCTGACTCCGGGGAAGTAGATAAAGGGCCTCATGGCCAAAATCCCCAAGTATCTCTTTAAGCGGTGCTACGGGGTGCAGGAGTTGGCCCCTGGCTGTGGCCAGCTGGATGGTCTAATGAGATAGCGAGCCCTGATAGAGGAGAGTCTAAAGGTGAGGGTGTAATTGGGGAGTGTCAGGGAGGGCAGGTGCTGATAGAGTTGACCGTAGGGGGAAGGTGTGTGTGGCCTCTCACTCTCTCCATGTCTCCCCACGCTCTCAAGGTCAGGCAGACAGCAAGGGGTCACACACACACACACACACACACACACACACACACACACACACAAATACTGCAATGCTCTACCTGGAGCCCCTCCTCACTACCCCTAACTGTCTTCCCTTCAGCAGGTCTAAATGGGAGGGCTGATGTTTATCTCTGGCCCCTCAATGAGTGTGGAGCAAATGTCACTAAACAGGTGCAATAAGCTACGACAGGACCAACGCAGTCTGGTTTTCAGTCGAGACCCAAAACTGCTCCAAATTGGTTGGGTCTAATAACAAGTCTTGATCTTTATGAGAAACACAATCACAGAGTCAACTTGTATTGAATCATAGAAGGAATTGCAGTACATCTAGGCATTTTCATCTTGTTTTTCTGCCTCATTCTCCCAAATTGAACCTGTGTAGTTTGAGTACCTTGGGAATTTTTCATACTCAGGTATGTATGAATCAGAGATGAGATCAGACAACGACGTAAAGGCAAAAGTCACCTCATACAATGCATTGGAGAATGGGCACATGGAAACGTACTTAGCGTAGAGTGCTACAGTGGCCTAAGGGCTTTTCTCACCGACTGATACGATTGTGACGCACATAAACCATTCGTTTTGATCAACTTTTTGACGGTGTCCCTCCCTGGCAGGTTGTAAGCATGTGAAGGGCATCCTGTTGTTCGGGCCTCCTGGCTGCGGTAAGACTCTGATGGCCAGGCAGATTGGGAAGATGCTGAACGCCCGCGAGCCCAAGGTGGTCAACGGCCCCGAGATCCTCAACAAGTACGTGGGAGAGTCCGAGGCCAACATCAGGAAGCTGTTCGCCGACGCAGAGGACGAGCAGAAGAGGGTGAGAGGGACACATGATTACTCTGTAACAAACATAAAAACTCTGGAAGATCCACACACACACCAGTAAATACATGTTGTATGTCATTGAATACACCCAGTACCTTCATTGCAATTACTCCTGTGGTTACCAAGCACAACATACCTGATGAGTCAATGAAATAGATGTCATACTATAAGGATTCCTTACCCCGAGGCTAATATGCAGCCTACGCCACGAACCACAGATAAGCATCACACAAATCCACACGGAGAAGCTAATTTATTCTGGAGAAGATTGATTTGCCCTTTAAGGAGGCATATTAGTAATAATAACGGTGGGAAAGTCATTGGGTTTCTCCATACTGTGGGACAGTTGCGTATTGAGCCCCCGTAGTGACGACTGTGTGACAGTGACGGCCTCACTCTTCACCACCTAATGAGGTGCTGGGTTATCTCGGACACTCCCTCTGCCCCCCTCTCTCACCTAGCCCATAATAAGCCCAGCTCCTCATCTGCTTTAAATGCTACGTCTGGAGACTGACAGGGCCAGAGATGGATGGATAACCCCCCACCCTGCTCTCTCTATCTCTGGCTTTCTCTCTCTCTCTGGCTTTCTCTCTTTCTCGTTTGGGCAGACTCTGTCCCTTCATGCCAGAGCAGAGGGAGGATGAGGAGACTTTTAAAAGGGTTTTAGTTTTCACTCTGGTAACACCGAGGAGAATTTAGCCCAGAACAGCCATGGTGTGAGGGGTTGACATTCTACACTGAACAACAATATAAACGCAACATGCAACAATTTCAAAGATTTTACTGAGTTACTGTTCATATAAGGACATCAGTCAGTTGAAATAAATTCCTAATATATGGATTTCACATGACTGGGAATGCAGATATGCAGAAAAAAGTAGGGGTGTGGATCAGTATCTGGTGTGACCACCATTTGTCTCATGCAGCGCGACATATCTCCTTCGCATAGAGTTGATCAGGCTGTTGATTGTGGCCTGTGGAATGTTGTTCCACTCCTCTTCAATGGCTGTTAGAAGTTTCTGGATATTGGCGGGAACTGGAAAACGCTGTCGTAGACGTCGATCCAGAGAATCCCAAATATGCTTAATGGGTGACATGTCTGGTGAGTATGCAGGCCATGGAAGAACTGGGACATTTTCAGCTTCCAGGAATTGTGTATAGATCCTTGCGAAATGGGGCCGTGCATTATCATGCTGAAACATGAGGTGATGGCGGTGGATGAATGGCACGACAATGGGCCTCAGGATCTCGTCACGTATCTCTGTGCATTCAAACTGCCATCTATAAAAGGCAGTTGTGTTTGTTATCCATAGCTTATGCCTGCCCATACCATAACCCCACTATCACCATGGGGCACTCTGTTCACAACGTTGACATCAGAAAACAGCTCACCCACACGACGCCATCTGTCCGGTACAGTTGAAACCGGGATTGATCTGTGAAGAACACACTTATCCAGCGTGCCAGTAGCCATCGAAGGTGAGCATTTTCCCACTGAAGTCGGTTACGACGCCGAACTGCACTCAGGTCAGGACCCTGGTGAGGACGACGAGCACGCAGATGAGCTTCCCTGAGATGGCTTCTGACAGTTTGTGCAGAAATTCTTTGGTTGTGCGAACCCACAGTTTTAACTATCCGGGTGGCTGGTCCCAGATGATCCCGCAGGTGAAGAAGCCAGATGTGGAGGTCCTTGGCTGGCGTGGTTACACGTGGTCTGCGGTTGTGAGGCCGGTTGGATGTACTGCCAAATTCTTTAAAACGACATTGAAAAGGCTTATGGTAGAGAAATGAACATTCAATTCTCTGGCAACAGCTCTGGTGGACATTCCTGCAGTCAGCATGCCAATTGCACGCTCCCTCAAAACTTGAGACATCTGTGACATTGTGTTGTGTGACAAAACTGCACATTTTAGAGTGGCCTTTTATTGTCCCCAGCACAAGTTGCACCTGTGTAATGATCATGCTGTTTAATCAGCTTCTTGATATGCCACACCTGTCAGGTGGATGGATTATCTTGGCAAAGGAGAAATGCTCACTCACAGGGATGTAAACAAACGTGTGCACAAAATTTGAGCGAAATAAGCTTTTTGCGCGTCTGGAAAATTTCTGGGATGTTTTTTATTTCAGCTCATGAAACATGGGACCAACACTTGACATGTTGCGTTTATATTTTTGTTCAGTTTAGATACTGTCCCTATGTAGCACTGCATTGACTTTGTGAGGCCATTGGTATCCTCCTTCCTTCTCCATCATTCACCCATATCTCTCTCCTCCAATAGCTGGGCGCCAACAGTGGGCTGCACATCATCATCTTTGACGAGATTGACGCCATCTGTAAGCAGCGTGGCAGCATGGCAGGCAGCACGGGCGTCCATGACACAGTGGTCAACCAACTGCTGTCCAAGATAGACGGAGTGGAGCAGCTCAACAATATCTTGGTCATAGGTACACAGACACACACACACACACACACACACACCAATGTCAAATAAAATAAAATTGTATTTGTCACATGCGCCGAATACAACAGGTGTAGACCTTACCGTGAAATGCTTACTTATGTGCCCTTAACCAACAATGCAGTTCAAGAAATAGAGTTAAGAAATTATTTACTAAATAAAGTAAAAACTAAAAACAGTACAGTTTCCTCTAAGCTGCGCGCGTGCTCGCACCTTCTCCAGGACTGCCGCGCAGAATAAATGCCATGCCGCGCAGAGATGCAAGAGATTGAACTTCACTGAGTTCGCCTCATTAGTTTGCACTATATAGATCAACGTTTTTTCTGTGATCGAATCAACATATCAGCCCCATTTTCAATCCAACAAAACAAAACAAATCTAACTTTGCAAGATTGAGTCTGTGATTTTGTAGTAGGCAGAGCCAGAGCGCAACGGAGTAGAATTCTATTGGCGGGGGTAGCCCACGAGCGGTCTTTCAATCAACCGAGAGTTCATGCGCTTTTCAGATCAGTTCAGATCAGAGTGCAGAGCCGCGCATGTGCACATTTGTTGATATTATTAGCTAGTTAGCGAGTTATTAGCCCAGTTATAGATAAGTATAGGTCAGCAATGGGGAGTTACTGCTTCCTACAAGAGCACAAAACTTGTAGGCTACATTTCAAGCCGTCTTTGAAATGCCAGTGAGGTAAAAAGCTTAAGTCTTAATTAAAGGGTCAGTTTTGTATTTTGAGACAGGCTTGAATATGCAAATAAGCCAATAGGCAGAGAGGAGTAGCCTACATTTGTCTAATTTGACTAATTGTATTTTGTATACAATGCAATTTACAGTCACCTATTTGGCCCATGGTGTTACAGACCAAGTCAAAAATCATGAATTAATGTCAAGCCCTTCATAATGTAAAAATGTTTTTAAACGTCTCATGCAATGTAGGCCTGCATTGAACACCACATATAGCCTACTGTAGGCTCATAGAAATCAAAAGCTATTTCCATGTGAAAATGTTGTGGGATTCACTCCATTGGTTTTGTTGGTAGGCCTACATTATGCTCAAATGCTACTGTCTAAAACTGTAAGGGTACAGCCTCAGTGTTCACTGTAAAATTCTCACAACTTTCAAGTTTCCTCTCACAAGACCCAAAATGTGTTCAGTGGCCCAAAAAAATAGAGGGAACATTGACACACACATATACATGCGCGCACACACACACTTTTCTGCTTCACTGACAGGTCGAGTTGTGGTCTGAGAAGATCATCTGAGCTATGCCTTTCTCACCCTCCCTCTCCTCTATCTCTCCATCTGTGCCTCACTCAGGAATGACCAACAGGCCTGACCTGATAGACGACGCCTTGTTGAGACCAGGCAGGTTGGAAGTCAAAATGGAGATTGGTAAGAAATCAACAACACTGTTGTGGAAATTCTTACACTGGACACTCAAAGTCAATATTAAATGAATCACTTTTTATTGTCAGCAAGCTGGAGAGGTCACAGTCAAACTTAGATGCATACAGTGCCGGTCTGAAGTGAGCTCTAAAAGAGCATGCCTTATATACGGCTACCTAAACCTACATAAACATGATTCATTGGATTGGTTCCTACATGTGACTGGCTCCGTCTCCTATATTAACTTAAATAACATATTCTGGGCGTTCTGCCAGATGGTCCTCTGGAGGGGGTCATGACGCCCCCCCCTCATATCTTGACCAAATACAGGCAGGACCCAAGGATTGTTTATGACACCAAAGATAAGATGCACAAAGTAAAATGTCCTTTACAACACCACAAAGCATCCACTCTAACCAAAGACCTTGCTTAGTTTCTTTTAGGTTAATATATTCAGGTTTTAGGTCATTTTCAGGTATTTTATTTTCTTCTGTGAAGGACATTCTTATTCATATATGTTGTACCTTTTACATGACAAACAACACCTAGACATTTCTACTTTTCCAGTTTCATCCCTTGTACAGTGACACAGTGAAGACAGCAGATAAACACACAGGTACAGGATATACAGAAGACGTTTCCCTTCTCTCTTCCTCCCCCAGGTTTGCCTGATGAGAAGGGGCGTGTCCAGATCCTCAACATCCACACAGCTAAGATGCGTCAGTTCAACCTGCTGGGCAGCGACGTGGACGTCAGTGAGCTGGCCGCTGAGACCAAGAACTACAGCGGAGCCGAGCTGGAGGGGCTGGTCAGAGCTGCCCAGTCCACCGCCATGAACCGACACATCAAGGTCAATATCACACATAGGCGGACATTTTTATTAGCCTACATAGGCGGTATTTTTCTCTTCTCCTCAACATTAAGTCTACAACCGACAATCGTTGTGTGTTAAGGGGCTGTAGGTCTCGTAGGTATTGTGCAATTAGTCATAAGACATTGTGCTCCCTCAGAGACAACTCTCGTCTGGAAGGAGGAGGGAGAGAACGAGTGATTAGGACAGAGAGAGAGAGAGGGGGGGGGGGACTGCTCCAGCCATTCCACCTGTGTAAGCCCTTGTCTGTCCATGTCATCGCCCTCCAATAGAGGCCAGGAGTGTGGCAAGGGGCAGACCACTTAACAGACGAGCACCTTGCTTTATCTGGCCGTGTGTGTGTGAGTGTGTGACAGAGACTCTCCACACCTGATAAATCACTTAGGGCAGACACACACCTGGACTCTCTAAGCCTCGCTTACACAGACACACGATTCCACGATAACAGTGACAGAATCCACTTCGCAGTGGGCTAAACAACAGCGTTTCAGTTGATCGAGTCGACTGGGGAGGGGGACTATTGTAAACATCCACTCAAGCAAGCTAGATCAGTAAGTCCAAACTATCACGTCATCATCATTACAGGACAAAATAAAGGTCGGTACTATACTATCAATGGTTAGCTGGAACAGCGTTAACTTATTTGGGGATTTTGTCTACACTCCTCAACATCACAGTGCCATAAATAATCTAGGATCAGGGCTGAAGTTAGTGGATAGTTAGTCGAGCAGTTTGTTGCTAGTTAGTTGAACATCTATTAACCATCTGTATTGGATCGTCCTAGTAATATCTCCCCCCTTGTCCTCTGTCCCCCTGCAGGCCAGCGCCACGGTGGAGGTGGACCTAGAGAAGGCTGAGAATCTGCAGGTCCACAGAGACGACTTCCTGGCCTCACTGGAGAACGACATCAAACCTGTGAGTATACCCCTTCCTCCCTCCATCTCTTTACCATTCTCCATCCTTCTCTCTCTACCATTGCCTACATCCAAAAGTCCTCTTCCAACATTTGGATAGACTTTCAACAATTCCATCATCACATCAAGTAGATGGCAATGTCCATTGTCCACTATATGCAGGAAATTGGACAATAAATGTGGACATCATTTTGAGATATTTCTAAGAGCAATTTTAATAATGGACCCTTTTAAGGCGATGATTTAGTGGATCTGACTCTCTCTCTCCTCCTCTTTCCCTCTCTCTCTCCCCGCTGGCCAGGCATTTGGTACCAACTCAGAGGACTATGCCAGCTACATCATGAACGGCATCATTAAGTGGGGCGACCCGGTGACAGCCGTGCTGGATGACGGGGAACTGCTGGTGCAGCAGACCAAGAACAGCGACCGCACACCACTGGTGTCTGTGCTACTGGAGGGTAAGAGAGACACACACATGCAGGTGCACACACACACACACACACACACACACACACACATTCGCACACACAAATACACTAAAATATTTACATTTCAGTCAGTTAGCAGACGCATGTTATCCTGAGCGACTTACAGTGCATTCATCTTAAGGTAGCTAGTTACGTCCACCACATCTCATAGTAATAATAAAAATGATATTTAATTTGTAGAGCGCATTTCCCACACAATTAAGTAAAACGTACATCAACAAAGCAGCCATCAGCAAAGTCAGTGCTAGTAACAAAATGCTAGTGTTAGTGCAAGACACACACAAAGATGAGCAAGGACACAAACAACTGATACTATTTTAGTCTATATATTTTTCTTTCCTTTACTGCTAAAAGGGACATTAACTTGAAATGACTCTTGTATAAATATGAACCATATCATTCAGATTTCCTTTGTTCAAAATACAGTATGGTGGTTTTCTATATACAGTCGTGGTCAAAAGTTTTGAGAATGACACAAGTATTGGTCTTCACAAAGTTTGCTGCTTCATTGTTTTTAGATATTTTTGTCATGGTATACTGAAGTATAATTACAAGCATTCCATGAGTGTCAAAGGCTTTTATTCACAATTACATTAGGTTTATGCAAAGAGTCAATATTTGCAGTGTTGACCCTTCTTTTTCAAGACCTCTGCAATCCGCCCTGGCATGCTGTCAATTAACTTCTGGGCCACATCCTGACTGATGGCAGCCCATTCTTGCATAATCAATGCTTGGAGTTTGTCAGAATTTGTGGGTTTTTGTTTGTCCACCCGCCTCTTGAGGATTGACCACAAGTTCTCAATGGGATTAAGGTCTGGGGAGTTTCCTGGCCATGGACCCAAAATGTCGATGTTTTGTTCCCCGAGCCACTTAGTTATCACTTTTGCCTTATGGCAAGGTGCTCCATCATGCTGGAAAAGGCATTGTTCGTCACCAAACTTTTCTTGGATGGTTGGGAGAAGTTGCTCTCGGAGGATGTGTTGGTACCATTCTTTATTCATGGCTATGTTCTTAGGCAAAATTGTGAGTGAGCCCACACCCTTGGCTGAGAAGCAACCCCACACATGAATGGTCTCAGGATGCTTTACTGTTGGCATGACACAGGACTGATGGTAGCGCTCACCTTGTCTTCTCCGGACAACCTTTTTTCCAGATGCCCCAAACAATCGGAAAGGGAATTCATCAGAGAAAATGACTTTACCCCGGTCCTCAGCAGTCCAATCCCTGTACCTTTTGCAGAATATCAGTCTGTCCCTGATGTTTTTCCTGGAGAGAAGTGGCTTCCTCGCTGCCCTTCATGACACCAGGCCATCCTCCAAAAGTATTCGCCTCACTGTGTGTGCAGATGCACTCACACCTGCCTGCTGCCATTCCTGAGCAAGCTCTGCACTGGTGGTGCCCCGATCCCACAGATGAATCAACTTTACGAGACGGTCCTGGCGCTTGCTGGACCTTCTTGGGCGCCCTGAAGCCTTCTTCACAACAATTGAACCTCTCTCCTTGAAGTTCTTGATGATCCGATAAATAGTTGATTTAGGTGCAATCTTACTAGCAGCAATATCCTTGCCTGTGAAGCCCTTTTTGTGCAAAGCAATGATGACGGCACGTGTTTCCTTGCAGGTAACCATGGTTAACAGAGGAAGAACAATGATTTCAAGTACCACCCTCCTTTTAAAGCTTCCAGTCTGTTATTTTAACTCAATCAGCATGACAGAGTGATCTCCAGCCTTGTCCTCGTCAACACTCTCACCTGTGTTAAAGAGAGAATCACTGACATGATGTCAGCTGGTCCTTTTGTGGCAGGTCTGAAATGCAGTGGAAATGTTTTTGGGGGATTAAGTTCATTTTCATGGCAAAGAGGGACTTTGCAATTAATTGCAATTCATCTGATCACTCTTCATAACATTCTGGAGTACAGTAATCCCTCGTTTATCGCGGGGGTTACGTTCCGAAAATGACCCGCGATAAGTGAAATCCGCGAAATAGAAAACTTTTTTTTTTTACAATTAGCAACTATTACATGTATACAAATACAGTGACTCACGTGTAGGCCGTTTCACTGCTCTTCAGACTGGGCCGCTGCATCCTGACTGCGCTCTGCAGTGTTCTCTTCTTCTGAAGCCCGCGGTGCAGGTGTGTTTGTTCGGGAGAAGAACATAGTGATAGGCAGCTGTTGTCGCTCTTTTTTCTTCTTTGCAAAAAGATCCTTGTACACCGACATGCCACCATCGATTACGTTGGAGAACTGTAATGAACGGCTCATCAAAGGGTCCCATTCCTCACGGCTGCATAGCTTTTACCTTCCCTTAGCATGTCCAGAAGTTTAACTTTATCTGAGATAGGTAGCATCTTCCGCCGTTTGGGCCCATCCGCAGGTGCTTTTGTCGGTCCAGGCCGTTTCGTCGACATTATGGGTTTAGGAGATGTTCGAAATTACAAGATAATTTGGCCAACTTAATGTAAATTTGCCAAGCTGTTTTATGTACGTACACATAACTGCACGAGACGACAAAATGATAGCACAATTCGTAGCATGTTTTGATACAAGAAGCGGGAGTGAGTTTTTAGCGAATCAGAATGCAGAGCACAATGCACCAAAAAAAAAAAAATGCATTATGAAAATCCGCGAAATAGCGAATCCGCGATAAGTGAACCGCGAAGTGGCGAGGGATCACTGTATATGCAAATTACCATCATAATAACTGAGGCAGCAGACTTTGTAAAAATTAATATTTGTGTCATTCTCAAAACTTTTGACCACAGCTGTAGTATGCTATGCTCTCTCTCCTAGGTCCCCCCAACAGTGGAAAGACCGCTCTGGCAGCTAAGATCTCAGAGGAATCTCAGTTCCCCTTTATAAAGATCTGCTCTCCAGACAAGATGATTGGCCACTCCGAGATTGCTAAATGCCAGGCCATCAAGAAGGTGAGGAAAGGGATACCCACACACACACACACAGTGTCAGTACCTATGTCTTCACCACCCTTAACCCTCTTTGTTCCAGATATTTGAAGATGCCTATAAGTCCCAGCTGAGCTGTGTAGTGGTAGATGACATTGAGCGCTTGCTGGGTAAGGTTCTGCTTGCATTGTGGTAACACTATTCTTCTTTTTTAAGTATCCTTTTAAGTTCAGGGTTATAACATAGAACAAAATGCTCATAAAGCAAAAACACCATTCTCCTTCTGATAACCCTGCCATAACCAGCTAAAAAGGGCCATATGTACAGTTGAAGTCGGAAGTTTACATACTGCTTAGCCAAATACATTTAAACTCAGTTTTTCACAATTCCTGACATTTAATCCTAGTAAATATTCCCTGTCTTAGGTCAGTTAGGATCACCACTTTATTAAGAATGTGAAATGTCAGAATAATAGTAGAGAGAATGATTTATTTCAGCTTTTATTTCTTTCATCACATTCCCAGTGGGTCAGAAGTTTACATACACTCAATTAGTATTTGGTAGCATTCCCTTTAAATTGTTTACTTGGGTCAAACGTTTCTGGTAGCCTTCCACAAGCTTCCCACAATAAGTTGGGTGAATTTAGGCCCATTCCTCCTGACAGAGCTGGTGTAACTGAGTCAGGTTTGTAGGCCTCCTTGCTCGCACACGCTTTTTCAGTTCTGCCCACAAATGTTCTATAGGCTTGAGGTCAGGGCTTTGTGATGGCCACTCCAATACCTTGACATTGTTGTCCTTAAGCCATTTTGCCACAACTTTGGAAGTATGCCTGGGGTCATTGTCCATTTGCGACCAAGCTTTAACTTCCTGACTGATGTCTTGAGATGTTGTTTCAATATATCCACATAATTTTCCTTCCTCATGATGCCATCTATTTTGTGAAGTGCACCAGTCCCTCCTGCAGCAAAGCACCCACACAGCATGATGCTGCTACCCCCTTGCTTCACGGCTGGGATGGTTTTCTTCAGTTTGCAAGCCACCATCTTTTTCCTCAAAACATAACGAATGTCATTATGGCCAAACAGTTTGATTTTTGTTTCGTCAGACCAGAGTAAATTTCTCCAAAAAGTACGATCTTTGTCCCCATGTGCAGTGGCAAACCGTAGCCTGGCTTTTTTATGGCGGTTTTGGAGCAGTGGCTTCTTCCTTGCTGAGCGGCCTTTCAGGTTATGTCGATATAGGACTCATTTTACTGTGGATATAGATACTTTTGTACCTGTTTCCTCCAGCATCTTCACAAGGTCCTTTGCTGTTGTTCTGGGATTGATTTGCACTTTTCGCACAAAAGTATGTTAATCTCTAGGAGACGGAACGCGTTTCCTTCCTGAGCGGTATGACGGCTGCGTGGTCCCATGGTGTTTATACTTGCGTACTATTGTTTGTACAGATGAACATGGTACCTTAAGGCATTTGGAAATTGCTCCCAAGGATGAACCAGACTTGTGGAGGTCTACAAAAAAAAATTCTGAGGTCTTGGCTGATTTCTTTTGATTTTCCCATGATGTCAAGCAAAGAGGCACTCAGTTTGAAGATAGGCCTTGAAATACATCCACAGGTACACCTCCAATTGACTCAAATGATGTCAATTAGCCTATCAGAAGCTCCTAAAGCCATGACATCATTTTCTGGAATTTTCCAAGCTGTTTAAAGGCACAGTCAACTTAGTGTATGAAAATTTCTGACCCACTGGAATTGTGATACAGTGAATTATAAATGAAATAATCTGTCTGTAACAATTGTTGGAAAAATTACTTATGTCATGCACAAAGTAGACTTGCCAAAACGATAGTTTGTTAACAAGAAATTTGTGAAGTAGTTGAAAAACAGGTTTTAATGACTCCAACCTAAGTGTATGTAAACTTCCGACTTCAACTGTACGTTTATGTATCTACAATACTGTGGCAGGTGTCGAGAGCTGTGTGTAGCTTGAAAGTGTATAGTAGCAAAGGTTGGGGCTGCTCATTAAAATGTACTGTCTTTCATTGAAAATGTAATACAATTATAAATTAAATATAGAGCTTCAATACAAGGGGTTATTGCTCAGTTTCTGTAGAGGGTAGAACGCCAGTGAAGATGGTAAAATAAAGAAATATAAAATCAAGTTAGTTATTTGACCACATTTGGCATTATAAGAGCTGAAAAATATATTTAAGCATACTGATAATGAGGTATTATACTAACCTGTGCACATTGCCCCGCACATTGACTCTGTACCGGTGCCCCCTGTATATAGCCTCCCTACTGTTATTTTACTGCTGCTCTTTAATTCATATGTTTTTTACTTATCTATTTTTTACTTAACACTTATCTTTCTTAAAACTGCATTGTTGGTATGAAAAAAATGAAAAAATGTATGCACTCACTAACTGTAAGTCGCTCTGGATAAGAGTGTCTGCTAAATGACTACAATGTAAATGTAAAATGTTGGTTAAGGGCTTGTAAGTAAGCATTTCACTGTGACAAATACAATTTGATTTGATTTTATATGCAGCCTACAAGGAATATGGGAGAACTTATGAGTGTCCTTGTTCTCAGACTATGTCCCGATTGGCCCCCGTTTCTCAAACCTGGTCCTTCAAGCTTTGCTGGTCCTCCTCAAGAAACCACCTCCCAAGGTCAGTATTCTGTGGGCTGCGGCTCTTCTTGAATGTGTGTGTGTGGTCACTCTTAGCATGCTCTAGTTGTTCTTTTGGCAGTGGCAGAAAGATGGCAGCAGATCGTGATAATGCCCCAAGTCATTTCCATGCAGAGTGAATCAAAAAGTGTTTCCTAGTTGTGTGATAGTATATAGCTTTACAACTGTGTGTGTTCATGTGAGCTTTGTGTGTGCTTGTGAGCTTTGTCTCCTGAATGTAGCCGCCAGGCCTCCATGGTATTTTAAGCAGTAGGGCCCTAGTCTGGGCTACGTTCAGCTGTAAATGTGTTTAATGTGTATGAGATTGTTTTGGTCCAGGCAGTCTGGTTTTTTTTTTTGTGCTGGGTGTGAATGGGAGCGGAGCTGTTTCTCCTGGATGTGTGTATGTGAGAGGGTATATGGCAGTATAGATGTGTTTGTGATAATGTATTGGTCCAGGCAGGCTGTTATGCTGGGTGTGAATGGGAGCCGGGGCTGTTTCTCCAGGGTTGTAAAGCTCCAGGCCCAGCGGGGAGCCCGGGCTAGGGGAGGCCTGCCTCTCGAGGGGGGGACAACGGAGGAGAATGGGCTCTGTGAGAGAGCCGGGGGGACCTGGCAGCACCGCCGCCTGTGTGGCACCTCATCTGCATGCAGGGGCACACCCCCTCCGCACCATGGGGGGGCAGCCAGCCCATAATCCCCCTCTCTCCTCTCCTCTGGCCCCGACCGAGCGACCATGGCCTCTTGGGAAAGAAACAGGCCACTTCCCTGATTCAGAGTCAACTAGACTAGAGCAGCTAGGTAGATGTGGTCCACCGCTGAGAGAGACACCGAGAGACTGAACAGAAGCTTTATCAAAAGATTGATAAAAAGGCTCATATTAGGGATCCCACCTTATCCATACACATTTCCCCATACTCATTTACTGTATGTTGATGATGTGAAGCATGTTGTTAGATGAGGGTTTTAATATAATAATAATAAATATGCCATTTAGCAGACGCTTTTATCCAAAGCGACTTACAGTCATGTGCGCATACATTTTTACGTATGGGTGGTCCCGGGGATCGAACCCACTACCCTGGCGTTACAAGCGCCATGCTCTACCAATTGAGCAACAGAGTTTTATACACTTCCATACATCATTTTCTACAGGATGTCCTATCTGTCCCTAAGCTAAATATCCATCTTCATCATGTGTCTCTGCGTCATGTTTCCCCCCCACACAGGGACGTAAGCTGCTGATCATCGGCACCACCAGCAGGAAGGATGTGCTGCAGGAGATGGAGATGCTGGACGCCTTCAGTACCACCATCCACATCCCCAACATCTCCAGAGGAGAGCAGCTGGTCGAGGCCCTGGAGGTAGACATACACTCACACACACTCGCATACACACACACACACACTCACACACACTCGCAGACATGCACACACGGGCAACCCACCACACACACCCACACATACATACACACATGTATGTACCTCGCTCTCCAGTTTTAAATTTGGGATGGTGGTAAGTAGGGATGCATTTGTTGTGAGTTTTTAAACAGCTTTTCTTTCTGTTGTAGATGCTAGGTAGTTTCCAGGAGAAGGAGCGGGCAGACATTGCCAAGGCAGTGAAGGGCCAGAGGGTGTGGATCGGCATTAAGAAGCTGACGATGCTCATCGAAATGGCTGTGCAGGTGAGAGAGACAAAGACCCGGTTTAGTTTCAGCCCAGCACTAACCATCAAATAATCAACCAGTCATGGCCTTCTTCAATCTGGACCACGATTAGTGGGTTCAGGTATGTTACTGCTGGGCTGGAACAAAAGCTTGCACACACCCTTTAGCTCTCCCAGAGTGGGAGTTGGAGAACCTTGGCCTAGACAACCACAGTCTGGGGAGTCACGGATTCTTGTCTGGTTTCAGTCAAAACAAACCGACATTAATTACGACCTTTAATTAAAACCAGTTTGGATTCAACAATGATTTGTGTGGTGAGCCCCAATAATGTCATCGCTCTACTTTCCCGACCATTCTCTGCATACTTCCCCGTCTTATGTGCTCACATGCTATGAATTGTAGAGGAATGCCAGCCACACAAAGACCACATAGCACCTTGGAAAGGTCTTATCTACTGTTGAGGGTTACTCTCTTAGGCCCTGTCCAGAAACAACCCCTAGAGGGGTGCATGTTTTTGTTCTTCCCCAGCACTAACACACCCGATTCAGCTAATCAAGGGCTGGAAGAGAAGTTAGATTGGGTGAATCAGGTGTGGGTCCCGAGGACCAGGATGTTAAAATCTGGTGCTAGCGTTACTACTGTATTTCTAGTCTACGGTATGTGTCTGCGGTGTGTATGGTTGTATGGTCTCTCTCGATTGTCGATGTGTGTCCCTGTGCTGTTTGTTGCAGCTGCTGGATGCTGTGTAATTGCTGTGGTATGCACTAATGCAGCCATGTTGAGTTAACACACACCTCCCACCAAGAGGAGTATGAACGAGTGTCTGCCAAGACATGCTGCGCACAGACTCCCTGCTCCGCCGACGTGACACCCACTTCTCCCTCTCTATTTTTACCCTCTCATCCCACATTTTCCCCAATAGTTTTCACTTCTCTCATGTCTTATCTCCAATAGCTACAGGCAATTCAAAAGATAAGTTATTGCATAGACTGACATTAATTTTCTTTCCCAATCCCCTCCCCTCCCCTTCAAATCCTCTTTCTTCAATAGAAAGCATGAACTCCAGGGCCTATTTGCCACCACTGGAAATGTACAGGTAACTGCCAAAATGATACAGGTAAATGCCAAATGAAACATCAATATAAAGTGTCTTAATAGGGTGTTGGGCCAGAACAGCTTGAATACACCTTGGCATAGATTCTACAAGTGTCTGGAACTCTATTGGAGGGATGCGACACTATTCTTCTACGAGAAAATAATTTGTTGTCCAGAATCTCCCAGAAGTGTTAAATTGTGTTGAGATCTCTTCTTCTAGCCATGGTAGCCAAAATAATGTGCAACTGGGCATTTTCATACATGACCTTAAGCATGATGGGATGTTGATTGCTTAATTAACCACACCTGTGTGGAAGCACCTGCTTTCAATATACTTTGTGTCCCTCATTTCTCAAGTGCTTCCTTTATTTTGGCAGTTACCTGTACATGTAATGTCTGACATTCCACTTCTTTCATGTAACACAGCTAATCGTGTTCAGTCCAATCATATATATATATATACAGTGGGGGAAAAAAGTATTTAGTCAGCCACCAATTGTGGCAAGTTCTCCCACTTAAAAAAGATGAAGAGGCCTGTATTTTCATCATAGGTACATGTCAACTATGACAGACAAATGAGAAAAAAAATTCCAGAAAATCACATTGTAGGATTTTATGAATTTATTTGCAAATGAATGGTGGAAATAAGTATTTGGTCAATACAAAAGTTTCTCAATACTTTGTTATATACCCCTTGTTGGCAATGACACAGGGTCAAACGTTTTTCTGTAAGTCTTTCACACACTGTTGCTGGTATTTTGGCCCATTCCTCCATGCAGATCTCCTCTAGAGCAGTGATGGTTTTGGGGCTGTCGCTGGGCAACACGGACTTTCAACTCCCTCCAAAGATTTTCTATGGGGTTTGAGATCTGGAGACTGGCTAGGCCACTCCAGGACCTTGAACATGCTTCTTACGAAGCCACTCCTTCATTGCCCGGGAGGTGTGTTTGGGATCATTGTCATGCTAAAAGACCCAGCTACGTTTCATCTCAATGCCCTTGCTGATGGAAGGAGGTTTTCACTCAAAATCTCACGATACATGGCCCCATTCATTCTTTCCTTTACACGGATCAGTCGTCCTGGTCCCTTTGCAGAAAAACAGCCCCAAAGCATGAAGTTTCCACCCCCATGCTTCACAGTAGGTATGGTGTTCTTTGGATGCAACTCAGCATTCTTTGTCCTCCAAACACGATGAGTTGAGTTTTTTACCAAAAAGTTATATTTTGGTTTCATCTGACAATATGACATTCTCCCAATCCTCTTCTGGATCATCCAAATGCACTCTAGCAAACTTCAGACGGGCCTGGACATGTACTGGCTTAAGCAGGGGGACACGTCTGGCAATGCAGGATTTGAGTCCCTGGCGGAGTAGTGTGTTACTGATGGTAGGCTTTGTTACTTTGGTCCCATCTCTCTGCAGGTCATTCACTAGGTCCCCCCGTGTGGTTCTGGGATTTTTGCTCACCGTTCTTGTGATCATTTTGACCCCACGGGGTGAGATCTTGCGTGGAGCCCCAGATCGAGGGAGATTATCAGTGGTCTTGTATGTCTTCCATTTCCTAATAATTGCTCCCACAGTTGATTTCTTCAAACCAAGCTGCTTACCTATTGCAGATTCAGTCTTCCCAGCCTGGTGCAGGTCTACAATTTTGTTTCTGGTGTCCTTTGACAGCTCTTTGGTCTTGACCATAGTGGAGTTTGGAGTGTGACTGTTTGAGGTTGTGGACAGGTGTCTTTTATACTGATAACAAGTTCAAACAGGTGCCGTTAATACAGGTAACGAGTGGAGGACAGAGGAGCCTCTTAAAGAAGAAGTTACAGGTCTGTGAGAGCCAGAAATCTTGCTTGTTTGTAGGTGACCAAATACTTATTTTCCACCATAATTTGCAAATAAATTCATTAAAAATCCTACAATGTGATTTTCTGGATTTTTGTTTTCTCAATTTGTCTTTCATAGATGATGTGTACCTATGATGAAAATGACAGGCCTCTCTCATCTTTTTAAGTGGGAGAACTTGCACAATTGGTGGCTGACTAAATACTTTTTTTCCCCACTGTATATATCTCATCATATCTAACCCATAGTCAAGATGACCATTGTTGAATAGTACCATGCATTTGCATAGTTACGTGACATTGTTTCTGTGAGCCTCTCTCTCAGAGCTGGTTCTCCCCCTGGGGTTAGCCAGACATAAGACCCACTCTCCATGATGCTACTGCTGCTGTTCAGATTGCCAGATGTATCACTCCCTCCTGTCATCCTACAGTTGATCCACTTCCCTCCAAGCCGCCCACTCAAACCTTCCCAGCCAATTACAGACAGCCCTGCAGGCACCTGTGCTGTGCCGGCCCCAGGCCCACTGAGAACCATCTGCAGTCTACTTTTAAACAAGTTCTAGGAAAGGAGGCTATATAGAAAATGTAGGCAAATATGGGCACATGCCCAAAGAGAGCTAACAAGCGCGTGTGTGCATGTCTGTGTGCGCATGTGTGTCTTCCAGATGGATCCTGAACACAGAGTTAGTAAGTTCCTGACCCTGCTGAGAGAACAGGGAGCGTAAGTAGAACACTATTCTGTTCCCTCCCCTCTCACACCACCTAGTTGTTGTTTGGTTCGTTGTTGGTTGACGGATTAATGAATGCATGTCTCCTTACTCCCCACAGGTTGGTTTCTGACAAGCGCATAGCCATCTAAGCCCATGGTGGAGCTGCATTTCCCAGCAGTAGCTGCCTCTCCCAGTAAGTACTTGAACAAAGTTGTCTTAGGTCTCTTTTTATGTAGTGTTGCGGTGTCTCTCTTGTCGTGATGTGTGTTTTGTCCTATATTAGTATGTTTAATCCCAGCCCCCGTCCCCACAGGAAGCCTTTTGCCTCTTGGTAGGCCGTCATTGTAAATAAGAATGTGTTCTTCAGTGACTTGCCTAGTTAAATAAAGGTTTAAAAAAATAAAAGAAAGCGTGGAGTAGGGTTGGAACAAAAATATGCAGATTCTTTCTCTTCCTTCCTGTTCTTCTAACTCCTCTCACTTTTTTTCTTCTGTCTTTTACCCCCAGTGGCTGAGGAGCGGAAGCCTGGGTGCGGCCGGCAAGAGAGTGAGAGATTCTATCTCTGCCTAATCTGTCCATCCCCAACGCTCTCTGTGTAATCTCTGTACTGCATGTTTCCATGGCAACCCCGATTGACCACCCTCCTCCTCTTCCTCATCAACACAATCTCTCTGTGTGCGTAAATTAAGTGAGAATTAAGCACTGTTCTGTGTATGATTTTTATTTCTGATTCATATGGCACTCTATTCCCTATTTAGTGTACTACTTCTTGACCAGAGGTCTATGGGCCCTGGTCAAAATAAGTGCACTGAATAGGGGTGCCATTTGAGACGCATCCAAAGTGTTGTGATCTGTGCTGCTAGCACTCCATGGGATTTTATGTATAAAAAGCAAAAATAAGTTTGATGTATGTTTATAACTAAATGGTTATTTGATGAGAAAACATGTATATGATGACCTATTGTGTGTTCGATATTACTTGCATAGATTTCTAATCATTCCAGGAAATTATGGTTCCAAGCATTACTCTTAGCCCTACTCACTTTTGTTTTATTATGTTTCGTTTTTGACTCTCTTTGTTTTATGAATAATTGTCACAAATAATTATCATGATACTAATATTGATTAGATAGTAACTGGAAAAAGTGATCCATTTTCAGACCAAGACCATTTTAGAAGTGAACCCCCTCCCCAACCACGCACGCACACAAGCCTGATGTTACTGTTGAAATTGTTTCTGTATCATGCTGTTCTCTATGAATGATCTCTGGAGACCCTCTGTTGTGCCTTTGCATGCTGGTGGATGGCTGTGCTGTTTCTTTGTGGACAGGAGGAGAGAGAGGATAAGTGGAGGTATACTAGGTTTAAAGCATATCGTTGTTACTCTTTGTCCTTACTGGTGGTCCTCTCTCAGTATTTCTGTGGTGTGTGAGCTGTTTCTTATGCCAGAAAGTGTCTGCCTTAACCCACGCCTTATAGAACAGGAGAGATATGGTTCTGTTTCAGGATGGCACTACCCTCTTTTGACTGTTATAACCCATGGGCCTTATCTCTGCCTCCTAGTCCTGATACAGAATAGAGTCTCAATAGACTGTTCTGTATAAAGGCTATATGCCCCCTAAAATACAAGAGATAACGTTGACATTAGACATTATAGCACCGCCTCTCTCCCCCCCATCCTTGTGCATGCCTAACACACTGCCATTTATATACTGAAGTACAGTATGCAGGTTTGTTTCAGATAAACACAAGTCAAGTGTAAATGTATGGAATTGATATATCAACCAGATGTATACATTATTTGCAGTGACCAGTGCGCTTTTTTCCTAAATCTATTTGTATCTAAGTTGCAATTGTATTATTGCAATAAAAGTGGACACATGAACATTTCGTACAGTACATTTCTAAATATGTGTGTGTATATATATATATATATATATATATATATATATATATATGTGTATTATTGATTGATGCTGTAGATGCACTTGTCATTTACCTGTCATTCACCTATAGATTTTATCAGGGAGAAATTAACTTGATCGAGACATTGCAGACGTTTCACTAAGTTCTAGAGCAGTGTTCTATTCTAGAGCAGATTGAGACATTATTTTGAGTTATAGAGAGGATTGTACTATTTATTAAGCATGGATAACTGTCTATCACAGTTTGGAACACCATCGCAGCTTGCCATTTAGAAATTAGTTCAGTAGTGTTATGTGCAATGTCTATATACATGATTTGGTAAGGAAATGTAGAGGAATTGATGCTTACAAACTGAAATTATTAGAAAAGTACCTCTAGCTAAGAAGCAAAAGCATGAGACAGTCATTTGTTCTTCAAATATATAATCTTAGTTCAGTCATACAGATATATACATTGTATAATAAATAATATTTATAAAAACATAACATTTTCAGATTATAAAATAAAAAGGGAATTATTAACTTTAAAACCTTTTTACAAAACTTTGGATATAGCGGGTAGGAAAGGAAGAAACAACATAGAAAGGGCCCTGGTAGGGAGGGCTTTTTAGAGGGTGACGCAGTTGCTAAGCTACCGTATGTCACAAAGAGAGGAGCCTATACTACCTGGGTAAATTGTATTTTTGTTGTTAAATATAATTATTAGGAGGCACATAGGACTGTCAGAACATGTTGTGTGGAAACCTCTCACAGCTTATTCCACCTGCCTGCCTGTCATCCCTCCCCTAACCCTTACACCCCTTTCACTGGCAGTCAGCACAAACACTTTCGCTCACATCAGCTGTATCCCAATACGTTACATAACCTTCCTACCCTCGTCTCCTCCATTTGTTTCCCACAGACACTTAGTCTCTGAACAAGTTTCCAACATATTGCTTCTATTGTCAAGACAGTTAAGGGAAGTGAAGGAGATGAGGAAAGACTGCTATTGAAGACTTGACACTTTCTGCTCTCTCCACTTGTCATCACGTTTCACTGGTGAGAGTAGGGTTTAGTTTAGACAAGGACTTCACAGCACTATGAGGAATCTAATGAAATGGATTGTCAGTGTGTTAGAATTATAATCTCATTGTTGTAGTATGACCGCTATTAGTAGAATTATTCATTAGCATTGGGCCTATTGCAAGTGCAGAATTAGCTGGTGATGCATGAATTCAATGTTAATCCAATAAAGTATTATCTCTTAAACCTGAACCCTCTACCTGTTGTTGTTGTGAATGTTTACTTCTATATGACATTTAATTATAATTTCCTCAAATACTGTAAGGGAAATTCCAGAAAAATGTATCTGATCTGAATGAGATAAACAAGAAGAATGCATTTGCTCTCATAAATAACAATTGCCAAAGTTTTACCTCCTCCAGACAGTTAGTGTACAGCTGAATAGTGCATACATGTGCAGAAATGTTCGTTAGTGGAAACAAGCGTGTTTGTTACGTGCACATGTCCCTTCCTGCATACCACCTCCGGTCCCGGCCCATTGCTAATATTTCAGAAATGTGTGGCTATAAAATCACGCTCTAGCATATCTTCCAGGCGTCTCAACTAGGTGACTGCTGCAGTTCAGTATCAGTACAATGTGCAGGGGTTGGGAAAGAGGAGATTTCATCAGCTCAGTAGTTTAGTTTAGAAGGGCAGGGTCCAGTAACAGCCTGCTCAGTAGTTAAAGTGGTAGGTTCCTGGGCTGCAGCCGTGTGTTCAGTACTGTTTGGATTGACAAGTGACGTTGGGGAACTGCTTTAGTTCTCAATAGTTGACCAGCCAGGTGATTGACTGGTGAAATCAGGTGTTAGTTAAAAAGATGTCCATTCGATAGCAATGGTCTGGAAAGTCATCAGTTACTGCAATGATTTCATGTTAGGTACCACAGCCGTGTGTGGGGGAAATAAATAAAGAAGGGTTCATGGCCCAATGCTGCAGGAATGAGAACTGGTCAAACTGACTGAGCTTGTTCCAATGGAAATGGGCCCTCCCATATGGAGGATGCAGGCCTTGGAAGAAGGATATGGGGAACATTTGTATTACAAGGGTCCAGAAGTATAGAGTTCCAGTACAGAAATGCCATTCCCCATTGGTGTCTGTCTGTACTTATGTCTGTATGCATGCGATGGGCGCTGTGGTCCATCATTCTGTCCATCTGTCAGGCTCTCACTTGCACGTGTGCACATCGTAGACGCGCACGCACTCCTGGCAGCTGACGTAGCAGCACCAGTGGAAGATACAGTGGCACTTCTCCTTGCGCTTCTCAGTCCGGGTGTTGTGGCCCCTGCCGCAGCAGAGCAGGTCGCAGCCCTCGATGCCGTGCGAGGACACGTTGCAGGCGCGGTCGCGCGTGCCGAATGAGCCCGTCTCCGGGTTGGGCTCGCAGAAGTTGGGCGAGCCCTCGTAGTAGACCAGGTCACGCTCTGTGGGGTGCTTGAAGAAGGCGTACTTGGCGCGCAGCGTCTCCACCCAGCCGCGCGACTCGCGGTGCTTCTCCACCACCATCTCCGAGGCGCTGTCGTACTTGTCCTTCAGGTAGTCGCCCAGCATGCGGAAGTCGGGCTGCGCCCACCAGCATGTTTTCACCTCGCAGCTGCCCGACAGGCCATGGCATTTACAGCGCAGGTGCATGTGGTCCAGGATGGTCTGAGAGAAAAAGAGGAAGAGGGAAAAGGAAACAGATAGAATAATTCAGCACAGTGTACAGTAAATGTGATTTCAATTGGTAGCGTGTCATTATAACATTTGTTTAATCTGGGTGTCAGTTTGTTTAGTCTAGGGGCATGTTTTTGTTTTGTCTCTCGCCCTCATTGTTTAGTGTACTACCAGACAGCCCATTTGAACAACTATTCTTACCAATAACCTGACTAGTGAGTACCGACCTGTAGGTTGAAAACAACATGCTACTTGGCTGCGTCTACAGGTGTGGTTCAGGCAGCTGTGAAACAGAGGCAGGCCTTTGCAGTGTGCAGCAGCTCACTCCTTCTGAAGTCACTGCATTTACGTGAGCAACGCGACCAGCTCTCTTCACCTTTGTTTAGATTGGTTTTGCTTTAATTCCCCAGCTATATTTAGATACAGAATTCCCCCAGCTGCGGCAGAAGGCAGGTGTTTGTGGCACCTTCGGGTGAGAGGGGAGTGGGGGCGGTGAGGGGTGGAAAGGTTCTTAGTTCTGACATCATGTCCTGGGCTTGTCAGGCCCCTGGCATCTCCCAGGGGCCCAAGGTAAACAATGGAGCTTGAGAGGGCCAGGTGGGGCGACTGGGATCAGGGTGAAAGAGAGAAAGGGGTCCTGACTGGGCTGCCTGCCATTTTGCAGCTCCTGTGGTCTCCCAGCTCCTGTCTAGTCAGATCAAAGGGCTGCCTTGTTGCCGTGTGGTCTCTCCAATTGCCCCTCAGTATGTTGGTGAGGAGTAGCTCACCAGATATTGCACTGAGCAATGACAGCAGCGAGTTATGGTTTAAGTCAGAGCTGATTCCCTTCTCTTCCCCCTCAACTAACTTGGGTTATTCGTCTGTCAGGGAATTTCGTTTGGGATGCGAGGCATGAAAGGCAGGGGCATTTTTTTTTTTACATCAGATAATTACCCAATCATTCAAGATGAAGTGCTACTTTTCAGGCAGAAACTCGCAGAAATGTGGACTGAACTTAAGTCAAATTCTGAAATCCTTCCTGTCATAGAATTAGTAATCTGGTACTGTAATGTTTACAGTGGATAATTCCATCCTATTGCCAAACAAGCAGATCTTTGTTCATTGTCTTTTTACTACTGTGCTTTTGAACTTTTTTTAGCTACAGGGCTGGGTGTGTTCAGGGTGTGTCCTGTATCATTATGTAGTGATATATGTGTACTGAATGTACTTAAGTTTATACACTGCATCCTGCTTGGCTGTGTAGTAAACTGTGTTCCATTTGTGTATTTACATTACATGCATGGCTTTGTGTTACCAACAGTTGTATAGTTAACTGTATAGCATGCACTGCCAAGATATCCATTCTAGTTGGGCAGTAAATGCTCAGTGGCCTATTTACCGTGCGTCCTGCTTCGTTGTTGTGTCGGTTCATAGCAGAGCGTGCGTCAGGACGGTTCTCTCTGGCATCAGCAAACTCTCTGGACACCAGCACTCCGAACTCAGCGTCCTCGCTGCAGCCGCCCCACTTCCAGCCCTCCCCCGGGGGACCCTTGTGGTGGGAGTCACAGCCACACATGGTGGACGTGCCCTCAGCGCAGGACCGAGTCACAGCAAACGCCACCCCCGCTGAGGCGATGGCGTGGACGAACGCCGACTCTCTGGTTGCTAGAGAGAAAAATAAAGAGTAAATTAAATCAATCAATCAATCTTTAGTACCATCTTCTTAACACAAGAGTTTCTGCAATCTTCACTGCTGCCAGCTTCCATACAGCAGGGGTAATGAAAAGGATACTGCAAGAATAAAAAAAAATCTGAGAAATGTCCGTAAGAGGAGTTAAAACATTAGGCTCTGATCAGTGTAGTAAACACTGGGTGAAATTCTCTTGACTCATCAACTCAATGTAAGATTTTGGAACACGTCGTAGAGATGGCTACGGTAGACATGTCCCCTGGCTGTGACATCAACCTATTGTGGCTGGTGTCAGTAGGGCCTAATGCTCGGTGAAATCTCAGTGACCTTCTGTCATCCCTGAGGTGTGCTGTTTTGCATCTGGATAGTGTTTCGGGAATGTTGTCCCCCCTCTCCTCCTCCTCCCTCTGTCGGAGCGCACAGGGCCTCTGGGTAGAAACTGAGCAGTGCATCTGCTCTGCTCCGCTGCATGTTACGCCTCCTTTGAACGCAACAGCTTATTATGTAACCAGACACCATTGTTTCACAATCACAGCACACTTACTGTGGGCTCATCCGTTTCTCTGCTGCACAACCTCACACTGCACACACACAGGCAGGGACACCAGGAGGGTAAGGGGAGGGCCCACTCCGCAATAGATTCACTGTTAAATCTAGGGAGGCCTAGCCCCTCTAAAACTGACTGTAGTTAGTAGTGTTCTCTACTACATACCTGCAGGGAAGTTAGTTACTCTACAGTGTAAGTCGATCTACAAGTCTTTGTAGTGCTAATTTGCATTAAACAGAGAGAAATATAATTGAAAAAGTTGTTGTTTGGGTTGCTAAGGGACATTTCATGCATTCATAAAGTTAATTAGCGCTCACAGCCTTTTTATGAGGTTACCCGTTTTTAGGTCTTTGCATTTTAAGCTACACATCCTTTGTTTGAATGAAACCTTCATGTGAATGGCTGAATAGGGTCATAGTTCATAATAGGGTGAGAGGTCATATGGCTGCTCTGATGGGAAATCCTGGGAAGTGGAAACGTATTAAAGTCACTAGATTACCACTAAACATCACCTCTTATCTACATGAAAACGTGTCGCACACAATATCTAATCAGTTAATACATCTTGTAAATATATAGTCACAAAACCATGATTCAAAAAAAAAAATCCCCCAGTGTGCTTCATTCTAAGTAAACAGCTATAAAGCAACATTTTTGTGCTAAAACCTGTGAATGTTTGATGATTGGATAACACCTCTGGTTGGGAGGCGAGCGGGAGTCCCAGCTACCCTGGCAAGCCCTGCTGGGCTCTCCACAACAGGGGCCTGTGAGCTGTGGGCCCCTGGAGCTCTGGCTGTCAGCCAAGGCTAGCGCTGCTCCTGCTACCTGCTGGGCCCATCAATCCGCCTTTGTTTCCCTTGTGTCACACTGTATTACCCACACAAAGGGCCCAGCGACTCGCGCCCCCACAACTCCGCTCTGCCCAGAGCTGGCATTCCCTAAACTCCCCCCCCTCCAATACCCTCCCTCCGCCAACACCCTGAAACCTCATCCTCCAGTACCACCACCACCTCCACCACTATGAACCCCCTCAACCCTCCATTTTCCCCCTGCAGCAGGCAGCCACCACCACCACCATAAACACCATAGTGGTTAAGGTGATGGTGGACTGGTATAGCCACCCTGGTCTGGGGCCCCTTCCCTCCTCGCCAACCCCTTGCCCGTCACTCCCGACTCAGGCTGCCCCCCCTCCCTCGCCAGCACCCTCTGCCTTCCTTCCACTTCACCCCAACGTGCCGTTCCGGGGTAGGTTGGGAGATTCCCTTTCAGCCTGTTTTCATGACAGAGTCAAAAGGGCGTGTGAATGGAGCGTCCGTGGGAGCCGGGCTGTGTGAGGCGCACTGGTCTTCATGCACAGTAGGGGTTGAGCTGAGCCCCCCAGCCCTTTTCTATTGCCTGTAATCTCATTTGGCCTCCTCTCTCCCTTTTTATTTATTTTTATTGAGGAGAACGAGGGAGGTTCACACTGCCCATTCCTGCCCAGATCCCTTCCCCTCTGACACACAGGCTAATTCATTTCCAATCAGCAGCCTCACTCCGCAACACAAAAACCCATCTTCATCATTAGGAATTTCAAGGCCTACTCCGAGCACCCCGGGTTGTGTTTTTGTGCGTTCTCTGTTTTTGTATCAGATTGTTTAAAGCAACCAGTCAGTGTTAAGACAGTTGATGATTAGGATTCAGTGTGGAAAGCCTGATAGATGATCTCCAGTGTATCAACTGTAACAACTGTAATTGTGTGAGCTAATCTTGAGAGATTCACAACACTGACTAACCTTCTTTCATGTCTAAAAACATCAACAAGGTTGGGAAACCCAGAAGAAGACACACAAACTCAAAAGACGTGAGGTAGAGCGATGGACGGACATTGAATAATCTGTCACTCCTTGTATCGGCACTCATTTCTCAAAAGGCTTCTCAACAGCTTCCACCCCCAAGCCATAAGACTCCTGAACATCTAATCATTGCTACCCGGACTATTTGCACTGCCCCCCCACCCCCACCCCCCTCTTTTACGCTGCTGCTACTCTGTCTATTATTTATGCATAGTCACTTTAACTCTACCCACATGTACATATTACCTCAATTACCTCGACTAGCCGGTGCCCCCGCACATTGACTCTGCACCGGTACCCCCCGTATATAGCCTCCCTACTGTTATTTTATTTTACTGCTGCTCTTTAGTTATTTGCTTGTATTTTTCTTTTACTGAACACTTTTTAAAAAATTATTTATTCTCATCGACGGGGCTGTAGTGGAACAGGTTGAGAGCATCAAGTTCCTTGGTGTCCACATCACCAACAAACTATCATGGTTCAAACACACTAAGACAGTCATGAAGAGGGCACGACAAAGAATATTCCCCCTCAGGAGACTGAAAAGATTTGGCTTTTTATTTTTTTAAGTCATTTAGCAGACGCTCTTATCCAGAGCGACTTACAGTTAGTGAGTGCATACATTATTTTTTAAATTTTTATACTGGCCCCCTGTGGGAATCAAACCCACAACCCTGGCGTGAGCATCCTGACTGGTTGCATCACCGCCTGGTATGGCAACCGCTCGGCCTCCGACCGCAAGGCACTACAGAGGGTAGTGCGTATGTCCCAGTACATCACTTGGGCCAAGCTTCCTGCCATCCAGGACCTCTATACCAGCCACCCTAGTCATAGACTGTTCTCTCTGCTACCGCACGGCAAGCGGTACCGGAGTGCCAAGTCTAGGTCCAAAAGGCTTCTCAACAGCTTCTACCCCCAAGCCATAAGACTCCTGAACAGCTAATCATTGTGTCTATTATTTATGCATTGTCACTTTAACTCTACCCACATGTACATATTACCTCAATTGACTCTGCACCGGTACCACCCTGTATATAGCCTCCCTACTGTTATTTTATTTTACTGCTGTTCTTTAGTTATTTGCTTTTATTTTTTTTACTTAACCTTTTTTTTTTAAATGCATTGTTGGTTAAGGGCTTGTAAGTAAGCATTTCACTGTAATGTCTACACCTGTTGTATTCGGCGCATGTGGCAAATACAATTTGATTTGATTTGATTTTAAGGAAAGGTGTATATTATTATAATTACCCTGCGAGTCATTTGTCAACAGGAGCACAGGGAACAGGCAGTGCTCAGCTGCAGAGTAACTGGTTAGTCTATTCCTACGTCAGCTTACTGTACTTTCCTCACATTTGTTTACATCCTTTTGTTTCCCATTTTCTCACTGCTATGTCCTTTAATGTTTTTATCACCACTATGAGAACAAGTAGAACCTGCAAACCCCTGCTGAAGTCAGATTATCTCATCTTTTAACGAGGAGTCCAATTTCATTGTTGCTGTACATCAATTCATTTTTTGTATGTTTTATATGAAACTTGGCTGTCATTAATATATCCCAAAGATATATCAATTATATAAATACCTCATTAGCAGTATACAGGCATTGGGGAGAGGAGTATATTTGTATTCTTTAGTCAAACAGTCCTGTAACAGTAAGAAGCCTACCTTTGTCCAGCACAGGGCCGAAGATGGCCAGGTTGTCCTTGATGGTCGTACAGTTCCAACGCCGGCCCCTGAACTGGTGCTGGCACTCCTGGATGCCCAGCTTCACGCCCTCAGCCACGCTGGGCATGATCTCGATGTAGTTGCGACAGAAGCGCAGCTGCTTGGGCACCAGGCCAGGGATGGAGCCGCACAGAATGGGTTGGGAACCCAGAGACGAGTACTGCTGCCCCAGGGCTAGGGACCTGCAACACAGGGAGAGGGGGGAGTGCGTCATGTACCAGCCCAGCCAGACATAGTATCACTGCCTAGCGCCCAACCTACACAGTCTCTCAGTCTCCCACAGTCTCTCTATACAGCTTTCTAAGGAGAAACTATCTATAGGATCTGCTGCCATTGAGTAAAATAGAGTGCCCTCCCTGAACTCACTGTCTCAATGACAGGGAGGGTTATATAGTATATGCCAGGGAGGCCCTCCACAGAGGCAGATTGTCCAAAGAAAGAGGATTGCCTCTCGATATACAAATATAGCTTTTTGTCCCATTGGTTTAATATATTCTGTGCTCATAGTTGAATTTGCAGTCGGTCGTGTTGATTTTTGTTTTTCTGTGGGGGAAGGTTTGACTTGGTGAGTGTTATTGACTTTATGAGCGCTTAATACAGTGGCACTGAGTGCTGCTACTCCCCCCCTCCCCCTCAGGAACATAAACTAATAGCCCCTCTTCAGGGAAGGGATATGACCTATTAGTATTGACTTTTCAAATTGCTCCCTCTTGTTAGCCCCCATAGACCCTAATGATTCAAAAGACAACACACACACTAGCCTGTCTGTTTGTTTCTCCTCTGGGGAAGTCCCCATGTACAATAATAAGACACACATAAACATTTACATTTTAGTCATTTAGCAGACGCTCTTATCCAGAGCGACTTACAGGAGCAATTAGGGTTAAGTGCCTTGCTCAAGGGCACATTTACGTCATTTAGCAGACGCTCTTATCCAGAGCACAACGCACGCTCCATAAACACAACGCACGCTCATTTCTTTGTTATTGATTTATGGTTTTCCTATTGATGATATGTGATCTGTGTGATTTAAGATTGACTGTGTACATGTGCATGTGTGTGCAGTTCAGTGTGTGGTAACGGACATATGGCATTCCTGAAACTCCTTGTGCCTCACCATTGGGCTGGCATATAGATGTGTCTAAACATGGATTAATCACCACAACGAGACAGCCCAAATCAGCCAGGGATGCCAGAAACCATTATAGTTTCATTTAAGTAATTAATTTTAATTGCCAGATTTGTCTACTAAGATATGGGTGGGGGGGGGGGGGGATTTGCGATGTTTGCTATGTCCATGTTTTAACATGCTTACTCTGATGACAAGCTCAAACAAAACCTTTCAGAAGCTGCTATGTTTTCCATAAAGTAGATATGGGATTTTGTAGTTTTATTGTTTATTTATTCACAAGTGTATGCCACTTTCATAATCTCACAAACACGCCCTTACCTACCTACAGATGTAGGATCTTAACTTGATCACTCTTTTGTTGTTGAGGGAATGCAAACTTGTAGTGTATTCAAGGTTAAAAAATACTTCTACAATTTATAATTTCCACTTTAAAATGTCAGACTTGATTTGTCCTAACAAAAAATGTATCATCCCCTACAAAAAAATTCCATTAATTATATTCCACATAATAATTCACATTTCCTGTTGCTGCAGGATTATTTCCCCGCTGTAGCAAACTGGCTCAAATTAAGATCCTACATCTGTATGTGATGTGGCGCAATCCCCCATGCACCACAACTGCATTGCTGCAGATTTTAAAGCGATGCTCCAGAGTTTCAAACAGATATTTTATAAATTCCAATTCATACAATATGTTACAAATTTGTAAGTGCTTAAGATCCCGGACTGCATCTTTAGGTACTATAAGCTAAATTGCCAGTACTGTAATTTAGCAGTAGCTTCTCTGAGTCCAATTGGCACCAAGGGCCCCAGACAGGGCCAGCGATACCACACCACACGGCAGCAGGATCAGAGAGAGAGAGGCCTTGTCAATGTAACTGCAGACACTCTGACGAGCTTGGGCTGTCTTGAGACAGAGAGAGAGAGAGAGAGAGAGAAAGAGAGACAGAGACAGAGACAGAGGGAGAGGGAGAGCGAGAGAGAGAGAGAGGGAGGATCATGAGGGAACAATTGCTGCTGATCAGATCAGAGCACCATTCGGGATGACCTCAGGCCCCCCGCGGGGCGCAACCCTATCACGGCAGCCACTGACTCTGACAGATTAGTGCGCCGCTGCACCCCACCCCACCCTGACACAAAAGCCATTGAAGTGAGAGGGAAAAAATCCCCCCTCAGAAAAGTTTACAGCTCATGTGCGCTTTGCTTTCTCCCCCACCCCCTCATCCTCCTGCCACACACTTTTGCTTTTTGATCTCCTTTGGAGTACAGGTGAGCATTGTTACAGCAGGCTCCCATGTATCACTGCTTGCCAATGGGGCTTATGCACTGAGACAGCAGGCTGAATGGCTTGGCTATTAATGCAGCTGAGCTGAAGGAACATGTGAGGCCATCATCACAAACACGCCATCAATGCCTGATCTGCCACATGTTGTACTAACTGACCTATAATGTTCAGAAAAATCATGCAATTTCTGGACTAAATAAAGATGGAGACAGGAGCAAGACTGGTGACTATATCAAGGTCCATTATAGTAAGCGGACCTATCTCAAAATACTAAAATATGCCAGCCAGGTAAAGCTACAGTCATTTCACCTGCATTCACCCAGGTTTCAGACCGCTAATTAATTTCAATGCTCAGGTTTGTTCTTTTAAAACACACCTGAAATATGTGTTTGTATTCACAAATAAATATCCCAATGAGATCAACTGAATAGTTCCCTAACATTTTATGTTCCCTTGCACAAAAATTGACTGACTGATTTTCTGGTAATTTGGGAGTAGTCATTATTAATCTATCCATCTTTTTCTGTTATCCATTAATTTAAGGCCGTGTTTACTCAGGCGCAAGCAAAAAACGTGTAAACTCATCTGCCAATTCCAATCCCAGAAATACCACTGAGTTCAAGTGTTGCTGACTTCACTCTGTCTGGAGTGACTGAGTGACTAAGTAGCGTAATTACACAGTCTGCTAGCTGTGCTACTGCCCATTAATCACCCAGTCTGCCATGGGGCGTACCTGTGTGGATGCCGTGGCCCTGCACGGCCTGCAGTGGTGGAGCCGATCCCTGGCATGGCAATAGCCAATCGGCTCGCCCCGCCTCTCCCTGGTGCGTTTGCTGCAGTGGTGACGCACCAGTTTCGGAGGCAACGTGTGGATGTCTGATGAAATCAATTACTTAACCACACGAGGCTTTCTTGTGGACATAGCGTGTTTAGACTACATGCTGAGGCTCTGCGTGTCTTTTTTATTTTGTTCATAAAGGATGCGCCTCACTTTGTCTGTGAAGGACTGACGAGATGAAAGCAAGGGGTGTCTTTGGCTAGGTGCTAATGAGAGTCTTAGACCTGAGGGGAAGCCTGTGGGTGCCAGGTGTTTCGTACACACACAGAGCGTTGTGCGTTTATCACGCGGAGCCTGCCTGCTTCGCCTAGCTTCTTGGAAGCCAGGAACGACGTGTCTCAACCGAGTGGGAGAGGAGCACAGACACAGCAGGGCCTTAGCCGAGGGAGGCAGAATGCCGCGGGAATCCGCTGTAGGGGAGTAGACAGAGGAGCAGAAACTGTGAGGCTTGGCAGGTGCATGCCTAGGCAGGTCTGTGACTGTGGGGCCTCCTCTGACCTGGGGGGTTTAGTGCTGCTGATTGGGGGTTTTCTCAGTATCAAAACCAACCTGACGTGAGCACATGGGCCACTGGAAACCACAGACACGAAGAAGAGGAAACAAAGGGATTCCACTACACACTGCAGAACAGTTGAAATTAGGACATATCTATCAAGGATATTTTCACAGGGGCAAAGCCTCTGTGAAGGTTGCGATTCTGCTCCATATGTCTTTGATGATGGTTTGCTCCACCACTCCCTTTGCTGCTGAATAACCTTTGATTCAATCATTATTTGTGGTTAGAACGTTTTGCAGCTGTTTCTGTGGGAGGTCTACATCACAGGGGTCAAAATGTTGTACTTGTCTAAGAGCAGACAGATGAACTTTCCCTTTGTGACAGGTACTCCATGTCCGGAGGCACAGAAAACACTGCCACCCTCTGAACTAGCTAATGCATGACATCTGACCTCACTGCCTTGAGCTTGGTGGCCTGTAAGAGTGGTTTGAAGTTTGTGACCAGCTAGAACTATCCTATCATCACTTTAACCTCCAATCATGCATTCAGCTCACCACCAGTCAAGGATAATCACCTAAAATGTGTAGCCCTCCTAATCTCTCCAATAGTATGAGACCAATGTCAACTGTAACATGTGCAATCACTCAGTGGTATTAGGCCTATAGGGTTACTTTGTAAAGTGAGTAGGCATATTCCTGAAAATGATGTAATTATGACAATGCTAATGTATACCATGTCAACACCTTTTTTCTCTCAATACGCCCATTCTCTTTCATTTAAATGTATCCATGTGATAACTAGGCAAGCTATCTAAATTCACCAATATTGTTAGTTTGTTTTAAATTGCTTCAGTCGTTATATTAGTAGCCTATTTATGATCCGTCAACATGGCGCAACATTTAGGTTAGGGTTAACGTGGCAGGTTAGGAGAATTAGGTAAATGAAAAGGGTTAGGGTTAGCTCAAATGCCAAAATTGTCCCTGACGCAAGTCCAAAATATCTAGCTACAACCAGGCCTGCCCTGAGAACAGTCTTGGTTTCCACTAATGGCAATGGATTCTGCTTTATTTAGGCTGTATTTGTAAGTCGCTAGCGTTAGCCTACTTCCGCTTTTAAAGGTTTACCAAACCGATATCATATCAAAGAGAATCGCCACTAGACTATGTGATATTTGAAAAACAAACAAGAGCAAACCGACACGCGCTATCCAGACAGTACCCTAACCCTTACCTAACCTTAACCATTTCAATGTCAACTTCAATTGGGTAGGGAAGTCCCAAGGATCCCGGATAGCACGGACCCTACCAAACCGGACCGATGGACTGCGCGCTATAACAGGGAAACAGCTGAGACAAGGGAAACAGTCGAGACAGGTGCATGCTGTTCATTTTCTCCTGCGCTTTTGTTACTGATTGTAATCTTCTCCTCACATAATTTGGCCTACAAGAAAATATACCACAAGT